CCAAGTTTTTCTTCGTCAGAAAGATCTTCAATGTTAAGATGCTTTATCAAGGTTCCAGTTGCTGTTTGTTCTTTTTAATTCAGTGTAGAGAACCTTTAGAATTTTCATTTGTCTTTATCTCTCTGTTGTCAAATTTCTTTCGGGTTTCTATTGCTCTTTCTTGTTGATTTTCGTTTCTATTTTTGTGTTTTTGTGTATCATTGTACATTTTTTCTTTTTTTAGTTATTATCATTATTTCTCTCGTTATCACAATGCTTTTCAAACGCTTGAAGGATTACAAAGGCCACGTGTCATGGGATCAGGATACGTGGATGTTTCCTTCTGTCCTAGCTCTACATAGTGATAAAGCCAAGAAAATAATAGAAAGTCGTGTGAGGAAACATTCTGAGGCCAAAGCACTCGCCAAAGCGATGGGCTACGATGGAGCTATGTATCCTTGGGAAATCGCTTACAGTGGTAAATCTTTATGACATATATTACCACATCAATTGAAGGACCTGTCCACTTCAATATTTTGTAACTGTATATATTATGTTCTTAAAACGTTGTATGAAATGCTAGACATCCATTTGGAGTAATCTTTCTTCAGAAAGTTCTTTCCAATAAATCTGTCAATAAATGCCAACAGGTGGCAACGTTTGTCCGACTACCGGCTGCTTAAAGTATGAACATCACATTAATGGGGATATTGCACTGGCTTTCCAACAATACGTCATGATGACGCGAGACACAACCTTCATCGAGAGTGGAGGAGCAGCTGACGTCATTACAGATATAGCTTCGTTTTGGATGTCAAGAATGAGTCTTAACAATGAGACGAATCAGTACGAGATATTCGGTATTTCACTATTTTTTTGTCTAAACCTTGAATGCAACATGTCCAAACTAGAAATGTTGACATATGTTACTTTCAAGTAGATTGATTTCTGTATGTAAGCAATAAAAATTACAGCGTTCTTTTCCAATAAGCTCCTTATGATAAAGGAACACAAAGAAAAATAGTTCCAGCTGATAAAAATAACAGTTTTACAGCAGTCAAACATGGACATGTATTCTGTATAGTATCGATAATTATACCCATGTAGGTGTAACTAAACATTCTATATTTGCTGTAGAGGTGATAGGTCCTGACAAATCCCATTTTCCTGTCAACAACTCCGTCTACACTAACAGTGTGGCCAAGATCAGCCTCCTTCTGCCAAAGTACGCCCTCTCTCTGGTCAACAAGACGGCGGATCCGACATTTGAGACAACAGCCAAACAAACATACATACCATTTAATGATACAGGGAGATGGCATCCAGAGTTTGATGGCTATGAACTAGGTTTGCGATAATACATTTCTGATATTGATGTAACAGCATTTCTAGCACGATATCCGCGAAATCATATAGATGAATGCATTGCATGTATCTCTCACAGTTAAGAATGAATTCTGTTTTTCTTTTCGCTACTGGTACCAAGATTTCAGCAAAGCGTTTTAAGGTATGCTTAAACAAAAAAATCAATTATAAATTACAGAAAATGAGTTGTAGAAATGTGTTTCCTATTGATGTAATTGAGCGAAACTAAATATCTTAAATAGATAGAATCATTGTCTATTGATGTCCTTAAGGGTATTTAAGTTTCTCTTCTGAATAACTATCACCAACAGACACAATGGTACAACAAGCAGACGCCATCCTCTTAGGATTTCCTCTGATGGCTGACATTTCTGAAGAAACAAGGAGGAATGATCTGGAAATTTATGATAAAGTTTGTAAATAATGATTGCGATGTACTTTGTACTATAGATATATTAATCTTACACCTGGATAATTTTATCATTTTGAATTAAAACTATGATAAAACGCATTGTTCGTTACATCATTAAAAGTCTGCCTTCATATCTAGAAAAAAACCCCAGAAGGTAAAAGTCATTATATTGCCTGGTTATTCAAAAATATAATTTTAGTAATACTGCCACTTCTATTTATAAAGGGAAATGACTTGAATTCTAATAATTCTGACAGGGTTTCAAGAAATGCAGGATGATTATAGGGGGATGCAATCTAATGAAAATTATGGTCGTCATAGTGATAACATTGATAAATATTCTATTTGTTTAATGCTCGTTAGATTGCCTGTTTGTTCCATTGCTACATACCTTGTCCTCGTTTGAGGACGCGACACAACTTAGTTAGTTTTATCAAAATTTACAAGAAAGGTGTCGCCCATGAAGCAGAAAACCCTTACTCTTCCGGAACACCTCCTTGAATACTTATTCAGGACTCTCCGTGTAAACCTTTCTTTTGTTCATATTTTGCCATGGTTTCATTGAATTAGATTTTGGATGATGATTCTATTCAGATGTTGGTATTCTCTAATTCTTCAGAAGTCAGACAATTCGTTTTATTTGTATTAACGACCTAATTGTTTTTAGTCTCAGAAAGATCATAAAAAAAACTTGAACTGCAATTCGGGTGATGAAGTTGAACTTAACAAAGACCGTTATTGACAACGGAAAAGAATTCAAAGTATCAACAAAGGCTTTTAAACGTTATTAGATACATAAACCATCTTCTTACCGATTTGAATTGTATGTAAATAGTTAGCAACGCGGTATTGTATCTTTCAGGTTACATCTAAGGCCCCCGCTATGACATGGGCAATGTTTGCAATAGGCTGGCTTGAAGTAAACAACAAACCTAAAGCAGAGGAACAATTCAACAAGCAAATGAAGAACATTGTACCACCATTTAACGTGAGTTTGTATCTTAACGAAATATGGAAAGAGGGGTGGGTGAATGGGGAGTTGGGGGTTGGATGTGGGTGAGTGGGTGGTTTTGGGGTTGGAGTGGTTGGGGGTTATATGCATTGCTGAGCAAGATTATCTGTAATAAAATATAGACATTTATGTAATAAGTTCTAAAATTACTGTATCATAGTAAGTGTCATCAATGACCATATTCTCGAAACTGTGTCTTATTCTTTGTCCTTTTCGAAATGTTTGTGTGCAAATATATGAATTGGTTTTCTTGTAAGTATCACATAATAGAGTTTGAAAAACGGGTTTGATATCTTAATTCTGTTCCGATTCGATTCTGTCACCACGAAGCTATTTTTACGAGTTGCGCTGTTCCTATTTTTATAACATTAATCACTGATTCGCTTAAAAAGAACCTCACTGGATATATAGTTTTATTTCATTTATATCGTATCATGGTCATACGAAATTGTTTATCAATCATTTCTTTATTAATTAACAAAGAAAAAAAATATAAAGAAATATGATAAATGACAAATGCATAACGTAATCATTGTTTTAGATATGGTCCAACCCAGTAGACAGTAAGGGAGGCCGGAACTATCTGACCGGTATCGGTGGATACTTACAATCTCTTATTTATGGATATGGCGGGTTTAGAATATTCCAGGATCGACTTCAATTCAATCCCAACATTCCACAAAGTTCTACTTCATTCAATCTCACTGGAATAGATTACCTCGGAGGGTCATTTGATTTTAGTTTCTTAAACAATTCGATGTTAATTACCCAGACGTCAACATCCATAGGTGAAATAAAGATTGTTATAACTTCTACTGGAGAAACAGAGACATTAAAGGTCGGGGCGGTAGTCCAGTATCCTAGGTCAAAAGCCTATTTGATGCTTGTATGATATATAACTTAAAACGACCAAAATAAAGTATACAGACATGACTGCTTCATTTAATGTTTTTGTATTTGTTACTGACAGCGAGCATTGAATTTGTACATTTTCATGACATAGTTAAATCAATGCTAATATTACTTAGTAAAAGCAATGAAGGCATGTTTGCATGCCACGTTTTTACACATTCAGGTAGTGACATGATTGTACTTGACATTCTGAAATTGTCAGATATATGTGAAAATTATACATTCTATTTGATTATCAGTCTGGTGCATCACTTCATCTAAATTTTGACTCTTCTTTCGATGATTGTCCTCAGTCCCCCAGGTTTCAGACTTTAGTTCCTAACTCTAAATTTCTATTGAAATGTGCTAGTGTCTTAGGTACAACCTTAAGAATTTGTCAAGTCAAATCCCACAGTGTTATATTTTTATAAAAATGTCAGAATAGAACGTAACAATGATGTATAAAACAAAAATTACATACCAAAGCATTTTTTTCTTTGTATAAAAAGCTATACATTTTTACACATTATGTATGGCAATGGGTAGATAAGCGAGAAATGTAGGAGTGCTCTTAAAATTCGGATATAAATTGTTAATAGACGGAACCTAGAGTAAATCCTCTAAAACTAAAGGATGGCTAATGTTCGGGATAAATATCATATGGTTATATAAAACATGCTAAATAAACCAGTCTGGATTATTTGGGACACAGAAAAAGAGTTGTTGCCGAAATAACTAGGCAAAAACCCATAACCGCCAATGAAAAGCTTGAAATCAGCAAACGACAAGTCCATGAAGGTGAAGGTGAACTACAGATAGTGCCGAGAAATGGTTTATCAGTAAGACAGTACATATCGTACTATGTCCCTAGTTTTACTTAACCCACACGAAACAACCGGAGGCACATTCACAAAATAAGTATCGGTTTTTCACGTGTCGTCATTACTGTCATCGGTAATATTGAACTTTTTGTGAATGCTATTTATATTCAAATCTTTGTTAATTTTATTTGATGCTGGTTTGACCAGTTACGTAAAAATTTGTAAAAGTTATTTCTAAAGTATATGTTGGAATATACGCTTTGAAATTTTGAAATACTTTTAACTTTGTCACGGTATTATCAGCACACAACCATAATTTGAAATGTATTTATGTTTATCAAAAGTGAACAATACAGGTCTTCTGCCATTCAGTGTAGGATATCTAGATTATATACGTAATCAAACGGGTTGGAACATAGAATGAAAGTTAGGAATATTTAGATATCTTTGCACATGTTTAGGAAATACTGACATATGAAAAAGGTAGATTTATTTTATTTCGTTTCATTAATTACAGGTCATGACGACGATAAACAATTGGAGCACTGTTATATTAACCATTACATTAGCAAGCTTGCTCAATGGTGCTTACGTCAGTGACAAAAGAGTTCCAAGGACTGTGAATCTAATACACGGCAATTCGAGAAAAATAACCAATGAAGTGGCCACACCTTATCCAGGGTTTCTCGACCCAGACGTTACGGTGTTGTCCAGTAGCACGTGAGTTTACTTCAATACAAGATCAAGACATTATATGACTTCAACAATCTAAGTTAAACGTCATTTCAAGAACTTAGATTATTTTGTTTATTTAGTTAATCAATATGTATTGTATTTATTAAGAACCTATAAAAATAATATCACTCAGGACACATTAGTGTTTCATTTATCTTTTGCACAATTAAGGACCAAGGAAAGTTAAAGAACGATTCACTTAGTACGTTTGGTCATTTTTTTATCTTTTTGATCAGATCCAAAATTGGGCATTCATATATAAGGACAAGGAAAAATCTTCATATAAAATTCCACAATTCCACTCAGTAATTCTCAAGCAATAGCGATAACAAAATCGTCAAAATCCAGAATGACCGATTTCAGTCATCTTGAATACACAAAGATGCTGCAAATGTGTAACATACAATGATGACGCCCATACAGTGTCAAGCAGGTTTAATGAGAAGTTATATTCAATTCTCATTTCCCATGCATTCAGTGTCATAGTTGATTTTGAACCCAGTACAGAAGTTTTAATAAACATATCAAACGTGTTTCTCATTTCAATGTAAACAATAAGAACACGTCTTATTTTACGTTTAAGGGGGGCATGCTTACGGAAACATTAATTCCAATTCTGATTTCTTAAGAGCTCTGAGGTTTTTGATGTTATTATCTTCAACATTACAATTTCATTTGAAGAATATGAATCGATGTACAAATGCATATATAAGAATTATCATGTTGCCTAGGCGACCGGATGCTAAAGCCATGCCTTCCATTGGTAACGGTCACGTTGCCACGGTCGTCCACAGCGACACCTTATATGTAGATGGATTATATAATGGTCAAAACAGCACGAGTCACAGAGCCAGGATACGGTCAACTGCTTCTATCAATATCACCGATTTCTCCTTCGATATAGATAGCCAGAAATTTTCACTCGACGTCGGCAGAGGTAACATCACTGAATGATATTGAAATTCGAGTGGTTATTTTACAAATTCTGCATAACCATAAGTCTTCCGATTAATTGCTCTCAAAAGTATTATATTTATGCAAGTCATATTAAAAAAAAAACAAACTCAGGCAGTGGAAAAACAACATGGTTGGGAATGAATCTTTTAGTTATTTAATCAATTAATTTATTGGATATATTTTGTCAAATGTTAAACATCATTAAGGTTAAATAATTCCCACATAACTGAATACAATAAATTGGAATTTTCAATTATAAGCATTTCAAATTATGTATATGTAATGCATATGCAAGTTATTCAGAAAGAAAAGAAAGGAAAGATAAGGACGCCCTTCAAAGGTGGAAGGAGGATAATAATAGCCGGTGTTAGAAGCTCATTTTTGTCCGCAATATACTTCTTGAAAATCATATACCATTTAATACTACCAGGTATGTATATAGAGGAATATACACAGAACGATTACGTCAAGGTAGAACTGAAGATGTACGCCCATCAGTGGATGACATGGTTGTTGGTCACAGAGATTTCAGTTATCAATAATGGCGGTCCACCTGTCGTTCTTAACCTGTCTCAGACGCTTGGACCGGTCAGTGATGATGTCAACGTCAATACTACACAAGAAAACGACTTCCGGTAGGTATAGTAGGTGGAAGAAGATATAAAAAGGAGAAATAATTTTGTTTCAGATGAATTTGTAAATAAGGCTACTGAGGACCAAGACAAGGAGTTATCAACAATTACTACTTGTTTTAATGGATGCCTTTCGTCTATCTGTGATAAAATGTTAATGAGTTTCTCAAATTCAAAGTACGACGAGAGTTGGACCAGGTGAGTAAGCATCTTCTGCTTCATCGACGACACCTGCCATGTAAATATTGGTCAATCGTAGTAAGTAATGTTTTAAATAAATACCATGTATACATCCATGCAAAAAAACAGTCAAACTAATGAGCATCAATTATGCCCAGCCTCATATTGGACAAAGAAACATAATATTTCTCCATGAGATCAAATAACCTGTAATCTGAGATTGGAACAGTACATTTAGTTTACTAGATGGGTATTACATTCTGTCCGGGTAATACAGCCTCGCAAGTGCATTAATACCAAAAAGGAGTTCCCCGCCAGCTATTTCCAAATAAACAGAGATATGTCCGGAGTTAACATTTGGCTCAGAGATTCGGCTTTTTCATTTTGAATGTCATTTGACACAATATAAGATAAATGAGGAGTTTATATGTCGATGTTTAAGGTTTAAATGCTTTTTCGACAAAATCTTTCAAATTATATAAATTGCAGAAAAAGTTCGAATATTGAAAAGATGGCTGCGTCCTCTAATGGCCGTTGCTTGCAGTATCACCATCCTGAATACATATACAATACACAATACACATGGTTGCAGCATAGACTTTTCAATGACGAAGGAGGGAGAGGTGGAAGGAGATGATACAGAGCACGTATTAGCCGTCTCATCTTTAGTCCCAGAGTCTATCACTGTAGGACCAAGTGAAGCCTCTCGCTATGTTTTCCTCACAGCTATTGGAGATGATCCCATGATAGTCATGGCTTATTTTGGAACTGGTACGTAAAATCATATTTTATTATTGATTTAATTTTTCTTACATCAATTTGTTTATGTTCATGTAATAATTCCTTTACAACAAATTTTACTCAGGTAAAACAGGAAAATAGATAAAATATGTCATTATTGTAATATCTACGCTATGCCAACCTGTTAATCTATTTGATATAAAATCTATCATTGATTTGTGTTATTGCAAGTGTATACAACTGTAGGTTGCTGTATACTATATATATATAGTGCATATTGTATGTGAGATGTATGAGAGCTATCTCCCTTTATTTGTTTTTCCTTGTTTTTCCTTGTTTTTCCTTGTTTTTTTCTGTGGTTATAAATTCACTTTCATTTCAAATTATATACTTTACATCATTACTCTTAAAATTTGGCTTCGTGTAGAGAATTGATATAGGCTTTGCTTGTTATTCAATCCACATTGACTGTACCACCTTTGTAAATAAAATTTGTTGAAATGAAATATCTACGACATTATCATTTCCACAGGTCTTAAAAGTTTTCTCAATGGAACACTAGAATCTTCTCATGTGAATCACTGGGAAAGCATGTGGCGTAAAGGAAGGATTGATGTGGGCGGTAACAGAGAACTAAGCAAACTCAACTACGGCTCTTTATACTATCTGCTCAGCGAGATCCCGCAGTATGAGACCTATGGACCTTTTTTTGGTATCTCCTCTGGAGGGCTGGGGCATGGCGGACAATACAATGTAATAAATTTTTATAATCATATTTTAATAATTGACAAATCTGAAAATCTTAGATATGTAATCTTAGGCATCTATTCAGTTACTTTGTCTTCAAATATAAACAATGCTTCCGGTGAGGTGTAGCTAAGATGTGAATATTCCGCAAATTACCTAAACTAGGTTTTGAAACTGAAACTAAACTAAAATTAGTATATAATTTAACAAAGAGATACAGAGACAAAGACGTAGTAGTTACCCCTATATTGGTAAGAAAACTCGTTTCTCATTAGTTTAGTATTTGCGGGATTATATCGGCGTTGATACTATACAATTTAACACTGTTCTATTCTTCTCATGCACATCACCGGGAGGTTTTTTGGTTTCTAGGAACGAGATAACATTTTCTCTTACGCTGGACAGGGATATCAACACGTTTTACCGGTGTGAGATTTCCTTATCTCACCCTAGGGTGAGACAAGCTACATGCGCTCTGTGCACGGTCTTAACAATTATTTGACGTCACTATCTTGACCCTGAAGTGGATAAACTTTTACTATGGCTAATAAGGTCACACACATACACTAGTTCGTCTGCTATCCCTCGGGAAGCCTCGTGTTTGACAACTTAATAATCCCCCTTGGGTTGAAATCCCCCTAAAATTCCCCTATCTTACCTCAAATGGGGTGAAATATTTGATTAATCTCACACAGGGTAGGAACAATTATGCTACTGGGGTAGAAATGTACCCCAACAACTTTCATTTTTTCTGCTTTCTTAAACCAAAATTTAACTCTTTGATTGAGATATCTTGTCAACAGTATATTTGATATTATATTATATTATATCGTATATTTGTCAATATTATATTTCTTCTTCAATGTTTTGAAGGATTACAAAGGCCACGTGTCATGGGATCAGGATACGTGGATGTTTCCTTCTCTCCTAGCTCTACATAGTGATAAAGCCAAGATAATCATGGAAACTCGTGTGAGGAAACATTCTGAAGCCAAAGCGCTCGCCAAAGCGGTGGGCTACAAAGGGGCTATGTATCCGTGGGAAATCGCTTATAGTGGTAAGAATAAGCATTGTTTTATCTCAGGAAGAATCTACACACTCTTAAACAACTTACTCATCGGTCAATGTGTACAGTACTAGACAGATATTTCATGCCTTCCTAAGCTTTGATTAAAATATTTGACCCGAGATGCAGTTGGCTGCTGCAAGGAAAATGCCGACAATCCATACATAGGAAGCACATTTGTTGGCCTTATCTACAATCTCGTCGTGAAAAATCTAGCATGTGGTCAACGAAACAATTATCTTTTTTAAATAAAGCTTTTATGATATAAAAGGTGAGATCATCGAGTACAAACAACCTTCACAGTCATTATGTTTTCCAATACGGAACGCATTTTTTCTGATACGACAAATACTTCCGAGAAGGCTAATTCAAAATTCAATTATTCCTGCAGGTGGCAACGTTTGTCCGACAACCGACTGCTTAAAGTACGAACATCACATTACTGGGGACATTGCACTGGCGTTACAACAATACGTCATGATGACGCGAGACACACACTTTATCGCGAATGAGGGTGCATCTGATGTCATCACAGATATTGCAACGTTTTGGATATCAAGAATGAGTCTCAATACGGAAACAAACCAGTATGAAATAAATGGTATCAATCAAATTTTCAAAAATCATTATCGGAGTTTCTATGAGCGTATGTTATTTTAAGAATTTGTCATTTTGAAATTGATTACAGGTTTTGTTAAGTGCACTTCCCTATCTGGATTTTGGCATTTATCTCGACCAATTTTAATTTTTCTCAATCGCCTTCCAGGTTTCAACAAATTGACTTTTAGCACCACTGAAAATCTAGAATGAAGAAACAGCTGTATGATACAGTTTTATTTGTATACAATTCATACAAATGTGGCAAAAAATTCATTTTTTTCTTAGCCGAATTCTTACAGCTATATAAACGCTTAAAATATACTATGTATTGTGTCGATATGCCCATAAACGTGTAACTGAACATTTTAAAATTTGCCGTAGAGGTGATGGGTCCTGACAAATCCCATTTTCCTGTCAACAACTCCGTCTACACTAACAGTGTGGCCAAGATAAGCCTCCTTTTGCCAAAGTACGCCCTCTCTCTGATCAACAAGACGGCGGATCCGACATTTGAGGAGACAGCCAAACAAACATACATACCATTTAATGATACAGGGAGATGGCATCCAGAGTTTGATGGCTATGAACTAGGTCTGTAGCTCAATGTTGTCTGAAGTGGCTAGATCAGAAACAGGAATAGTAATAGAGCAACTTTATCTTACATAATTATGTTAATTTCTTGCATAATTGTCTACTGATAACTTCATTACAAATAAAACGTTTCATTTTAATGCTCATTCGCAAAAGACATACATCTAAAATTTCATTTTTAATAATGATGCGTCAATCTCTAAATGACGTCTTTCTATATCATATTTTAAAACGAAAGTATGTATTTTTGAACTTATATAGATGCCTTTGAGTTTTTGCAACTGATTCTGTATAAAACGCTTGTACAATTATCTACAGACACAACAGTACAACAGGCAGACGCCATCCTCCTAGGATTTCCACTGATGGCTAATATTACTGACGAAACAAGGAGAAATGATCTGGAAATTTATGAAAAAGTTGGTATTTTTCTAGTAGAGGTATACGTGTAATGTGATAAGTTTATTCACTCTGATAGACCGGATAGTTTCTGTTTTTTTGCTCTTGGTTTTATTTACTTGTTGCTTTACTTTACTGATAATGTATCAGTTGGTGATTATTCAAGTTCCATTCTCTTCAGAGGTCGGGTGAAAATATATGTATAAATGTGTCGTGACGAGCTACCATTAAAACAATGCTTACTGGTTTAGCTGGTTGTGACTTTTTTTTATATAATGATATTCAAAGCAGTTGTCTAAGCAAGGTTATAACTAAAAAACCTTCACGCCCTTTGATACAAAGACCGGAACATATTATCTCAGGAAGCATCGCAGAAGTATTTCAAAAAACATATCTTCATCTCAACAATTCAAATATTTAGCACCCGGTCGATTTCATATTTATTAGATAAACTTATTTATTAGATAAACAAATTTTATGAAATCTTATTCTTATATTGTGCCATAAAACCGAGAAAATGATAGAAAGGGAATAAGGACCAAACGTCCCTCACATATTATAAACCTGATTGTTATCACTGTGTCAAATTTGCTACATATCTGTGTATATTTCAGGTTACACCAACAGCCCCCGCTATGACATGGGCAATGTTTGCAATCGGCTGGCTGGAAGTAAACAACAAACCTAAAGCAGAGGAACAATTCAACAAACAAATGAAGAACATTGTTCCACCATTTAACGTGAGTTTGTTCAGTCTCACTTAATAGTTGATATATTTTATGTAAGATTGAACATCTATTCCGTCATTCTGTTATGTTGAACATCAAAATAAAGACACCTCTCGGTGTATAATAGTCATGTTACCCAACTCATTCAATATAATTCTCACAGTATTAACAGTTTTATTTAAAGGCACATGAAAATATTGACTTTATACGTTATCCTTCAATTTGTATTATTTCGTGAAAATTAACCGAGGAACAGAATTACTTGTCCATCTACTTAATTGTGAGATCTACTTATCCTCTCGTTGTGCATTTAAAGTGCCTTTGTTAGGAATTACATATTTTCTATTAGCGTTATTGTACCGATATTGTGAACAAGCTTTACATAATTACAAAATGTTTACTGATGACAGAAAGAATTAAAAGTCAAATTGGAGATTAACGAAGAAACAGATTATATTAATCAGTATCTTTGTTAATAATAAACATATTTCGTGATTGTACAATTCTACAAGATGGTCAGAGTTTCTTGTTTTCAATGTAGTAATCTCCAAATACGAAATGAAAAGGTTGTCTGTCTTTGCGTTGAAAAATAGCATATTTCGCCGGTGAAAATGAAGATAATATAATAATTTTGTTTAAGATATGGTCCAACCCAGCAGACAGTAAGGGAGGCCGGAACTATCTGAGCGGTATTGGTGGATACTTACAATCTCTTCTTTATGGATATGGCGGCTTAAGAATATTCCAGGATCGACTTCAATTCAACCCCAACATACCACCAAGTTCTACTTCATTCAATCTCACTGGAATCGATTACCTCGGAGGGTCATTTGATTTCAGTTTCTTAAACAATTCGATGTTAATAACCCAGACGTCACCATCCATAGGTGAAATAAAGATTGTTATAACTTCTACTGGAGAAACAGAGACATTAAAGGTCGGGGCGGTAGTCCAGTATCCTAGGTCAAAAGCCTATTTGATGCTTGTATGATATCTAACTGTAAGAAGTTTTATTAAATAAAGTATGATAAAGATATATGTGTGCGACTACGTTGTATCCATTGACTCTATTGGTAATAGCATAACTTAAATTTGTTCATTTCAATGTCAAAATTATTATGTTCTAATCGATACGATAGTACTTAAGTGTTTGTTATGTATATATAAACAAGAGGCCCAAAAGGACCTGTATCCCTTACCTGGTTTAGTTCGCTGAAATATGTTCATCTGAAGTAAAGGCAAAACTGTAAAGATATATGTCTATTTCTCATATAAGGCACTAAGCCCCAAGGGGATCACCTGCAGAATCCTGACATTCCTCCATAAGAAGAGTGATTTAAGTAATTTTGTTTTCCGGGCCTCGCACTATTCGTCGTAGGCGCTGAAACCAATCATTCATGCAAAATTGAAACCCCTGCAACAAATGATGACTCCGACCAAATTTAGATAAAATTCCATTATTCCCTAACGAAGAGAAGGAATTTTAAGAATTTGTTAAATTTCCACTTTTGAGCATCGCCCCTAGACTTCATGAGGGTCAGATGCATTGATTATACAACAATGCGTCTACTTCCCCAATTATTTTGCTGACCGACTCATTTATGTGCAGAAGCAATTTGTTTGAAAAATTAACGGACGGACAGACGGATGACGAACGCTGAGGTATGTCACAAACTAACTTGGATCCTCGGTCCAGGTGGGCAAAAAACTCTATACCTCTAATGGAGCAAGAAGTGTTTTTCTCCAATTTATAAAGTAGCAGCCCAGCAGATGAAACATCGGTTCTCATTCAACATCAACATGATTGGCAGAGTTGTAGACAGAAAGATTCATCCACCCACATACATCTTTCTTACAGTACTGAATATGTCATTTTGCATTTTGAATAAATGATTTAATACTTCTATTGTAGTGTAGTTTTGTACACGAAAAATAAATGAAAATATTATTACAACATAACCACGGGCTTACTGGGTACTCATGTTTTCGCTCACAATATAACCCCTCGAGTGCCTCCATCAGGCTCCACAAGGGTATGTCACAATTGTTGTATAGTATATTTAATACATAAAAGAGCATGGTGGATATTTTTACAATTTCTCTAATAATTAAAAATTCCGTTATATTTTAATGTTGTTTTTTTTTCAATAAGATATATTCAAATGACCCACTTAATGTTCTTAAATCGTACAGGATGGTTTGGTAAACAAGTACAATGATCGCACTTCAAGGATGACATGCCTAGGGAGAGCTGGTGTAAAGTTTACATGCCTGAGAAGGGGTGGTGTAACACCACCAGTAACGTCCCATGGTCAATGTCAACACATAACATTATTAAGGAAAAAAGTGTAACAGAATACAGGAATCTCAAGTAAGTATAATTTTGTTTGTTTTGTTTTCGTGTAACAAGTTGAACGAGGAATATTTCATTGGTTTTAATTGGTACTAGAAAAATAACCTGCGTCGAATGACAAATCATAATTATTCAATCGATTACTACTAGTTTATTTCTCTGTTTAAAAAGGTACATATCGTAGTGGTCACATTATTATTTTACAGATAATGCGTGGTTTAAGCCAACGGGAGGCGTTAGTCTTATTGATACTGATATGCTGGTATACTGATATAGGGTCAGGCAGGGCGGCTTTCGAGAAAAAAGATGGTGATCATCATGATGACCTTGTGACACTATTTCACGGACCATTGACTAAGAAGATCAAGGATACCAGGAGGTCATACCCAGACTTCCTTAATCCTGATGTCACAGTTATATCTGTTGACAGGTAATGATAAGCAATTTTTTACCGAACATCCATTACATAAATCACGTGATCCTGTCAATAAAATTGTGATTTTGGGTGTCAAACTATAGAAAATGAAACTTTAGTGTCAACACAAAGATAGAATAAGTGATGATAAGATTGTACAAATGGACGAAAATATACAACGAGCCATCCAAACGCAAAGCCTTAAAACGAAGGATTTAAACATATTATACTATTTATGGAATGAAACTTTAATCATTCAAAATGGTTCCAAAAATGACCGATAATTTTATTAATGAATATTACATCTAATTTTTTAATCGACTGACTTTTTTTTACCTAGTTTGCCTGATGCTGCGTCCATGCCAACCATTGGTAATGGTTACATAGCAACACTTGTTCACAGTGACACCATGTATGTAGATGGTGTTTACAATGGCTACAATGGAACGAGTCATAGGGCCAGACTACGGTCGACGTCATCTATTAACATCACTGATTTCTCCTTCCCTGTTACATACCGGAAGTACTCACTGGACGTCGGAAGAGGTGTGGTCTTTTAGTTTCTTTTACACTTAAAATCTGATACACTGACGACATGTATCATATATATTTAGGATATATTTTAACAAAGAAATATATGTCTATATTTCTGTTACAAAAAACGCAAATGTTATATGTAATAGTTATGATGAAAACTTCTGTTATATTTCCTATCATAATTTTATGTATCTAATTTCAAGTTGACTTGTTACATTTTTTCTTAAAATATTATCTGAGCACGAAATTATTGCACAGTACAGTTTATGCTTCACTTAACTACGCTAGAAATGAAATCCAAGCTTGTTAAGTTTTAGTACTTTGAAAGAATCTTATTTTCTTTTTCGGAAAAAAGGTGCATTTGTTTGCCGGTTGTGTAAAGCAAATGAAAATGGCACCAAATCGATGAATTTCGAAAAAAAGTAAATAAATAAATAAAAATTACTTCCGGCTTTCAAGAATCAACGAAGAATTGTCAGTGACTATCTCTGGAACAGTTACTTGACAGTTAAAACGAGTGAGAGGACATATTAATACTCTATAAATTTTTGTTACTTGCACGAGATTCATGACATTACATGTTACATGCTAATTATTAATTGATAAGAACCTGAGGAATCTTCTAAACAGAGATATCTAAATATATGTATGGTGGGTGGTCGGGTGGGTGGTCGGGTGGGTGGTCGGGTGGCGCAGTGTTAACGCACTCGCCTTTCACCTAGCCGACCGGGGTTCGATTCCCGGAACGGACGTGAAAAGGTAAGGGGTCACCTGCCCGACCGCGTGGGTTTTCCCCGGGTACTCCGGTTTCCTCCCACAATAAGGCCCCTCGCGCACTTACATCCGGGCCAACAAGAGTGATTAGTATAAGTTTAAATAACTTGTTTCGCAATTGTTGTAAAACAAATAAAGTTTATATATATATATATATTTTTTTTTAAATATATGTATAAAATGCATTTTGCGTCAGATATTTCCTCTCAGAAGATAGACACAAGGCTTAATAAAATCTCATGTCAACCTCTTGAACTTTGAGATTTTACTTCAGTGTTTGTTCTATTGGTTTTGACATTTGTACATTGGCAGGTATGTACGTTGAAGAGTACACGTCTGATGACGTCAGAGTGGAAATGAACATGTACGCCCACCAATGGATGAATCGTTTACTAGTTACCGAGATATCTGTAGTCAATAACGGAAGTATACCTATACATCTTAACCTGTCACAGAACCTCGGCCTCTCCAGTGAAGATGTGTCATTCCAAACTGTTGACAAACAAATTCTAAACCAATTCCGGTACGATTGTTTTTGTTTTTGTCAACACTAACGGCAGTGTTTCTGTCTATGCTATCTCATTCCAGTATACTCATTTAAAATATTTGGCGTCAGTAAGGATCTAACCAATATCAATTTTCGGCGATTCCATTACGTTTGCATATTCATCAACAATTACATTTCTATCGATATCAGATATCTGTTTTGTTGGGTTGAGTAGGATCATGATTTTTTTAATTAACAGAAGCACGTTTTAAAGCATTAATTATATAAAACATCCTATTACAATCCATATGTTTTCTTCTCTAAAAAGAATGGATTACGGTGCAACAATTGAACCCGAGTATGCGATACAGGACAAGATAAGCCTCGTGGCTTTGTCCACCTTGGTGCCTGCTACTATCACTGTGGAAGCTGGAGGAAATGTCAGATATTTGTTTCAGACATGTGTAGAATCAAACTTAAAGAATACGATTGAGTCTTTCCAGGAGGGTAAGTCAGATTCTTCGAAAACAAAAATGATAGCATGGGTTTTGTTTTGTACCTATATCTAAAGTCATTGCGGGCAATTTCGAAATAAGCGCCTCCCCGATATCAATATCTTAGGCCACTCTCATCACTGACGAGCTCTAGAAGGAAGAAAAATCTGTAGGATGCAACTAAATTAATTATTTGGCGCTAATCTAATCTAAAATTTGTATTGATAGACTACATTCACCTTCGTATTTTGTACAGTCGTTCGACATTTTCATTCCCAATAGATTGTACAATGCCCTACATCAGCTTTCGGAAGAATGGCTTAATGTCATTTTTAGAATGTAGTATAGTACAGTTAATGGTATTACAATAAATAAATCTATCACATTTTTTTTTTAATTTAATCTTTTCTTCCCAATAAGGTATAAATTATTTTTTTAATGGAACAATGACTAGTTCACACGAGCAGCAATGGGAGGAGATATGGCGAAAAGGAAGGATAGATGTCGATTCTACTGTCAATTTCAGCAGAATCAATTACGCCGCGTTGTATTATCTTCTAAGTGAGATTCCTCGATCTGATAGTTATGGCCCTTTCTTCGGGATCTCACCAGGGGGATTAGCGCATGGTGCTTTGCATAAGGTATATGTGAAATCTACCTCAATTCTGTGTCATCTTTGGTTGAAAAATGCTCCAGAAGTCTATTTCTCTTGAAAGGAGTAACTTCAAATGAAATCATTCTTCATCTATGACAAAGATTTCACACAGCCAATATCTATATTTCATTATAGTTATTTTCATACAATATACTTAATTTTATACCCAATATACCCATTAACATATAATATTTTCTCAAATCTTCATGTAAAAACCCATTTTGAGAAAAATTATTTCGGAAAATGAAAGGTCAAGGCATCGCTTACGCGCCAGTCCAAAAGTAGTTTAAAACATTCCCTACTTATGGTTCTTTGATTTGTTTTAAAATTTTGCACACATTGAATGTAATATAAGGAAACGAAACGTCAAAATTATCTGTCTATGCCATTTCAAAGTAATATTGAAATATATATACTAGAAATGTATAGATGTAATTTCTCGATATCATGGAAACCTATATATAATGAAATATCTGTGTTTAGGATTATCAGGGGCATATCTTCTGGGACCAAGAAACTTGGATGTTCCCTCCTGTACTTGTCTTGCATAAAGACAGAGGAAAGAAAATAATAAAAACGCGAATTACAAAACATTCATCTGCTAAACAAATTGCAAAACTAAGAGGTTATGATGGAGCGATGTACCCGTGGGAAAGCGCATATACTGGTAAATATATTCCACTTATTAATGCTGGTAAATGTATTCCACTTATTTATGCTGGTAAATATATTTTACTTATTTATACTGGTAAATATATTTCACTTATTTTTACTGGTAAATATATTTTACTTATTTATACTGGTAAATATATTTCACTTATTTTTACTGGTAAATATATTCCACTTATTTATACTGGTAAATATATTCCACTTATTTATACTGGTAAATATATTCCACTTATTTATGCTGGTAAATGTATTCCACTTATTTTTACTGGTAAATATATTCCACTTATTTATACTGATAAATATTTTCCCCGGATTTATGCTGGTAAAGGTATTCCACTTCTTTATGCTGGTAAATCTATTCCACTTATTTATACTGGTAAATATATTTCACTTATTTTTACTGGTAAATATATTCCACTTATTTATACTGGTAAATATATTTTACTTATTTTTACTGGTAAATATATTCCACTTATTTTTACTGGTAAATATATTTCACTTATTTTTACTGGTAAATATATTTCACTTATTTTTACTGGTAAATATATTTCACTTATTTTTACTGGTAAATATATTCCACTTATTTATGCTGGTAAATATATTCCACTTATTTTTACTGGTAAATATATTCCACTTATTTATGCTGGTAAATGTATTCCACTTATTTTTACTGGTAAATATATTCCACTTATTTATACTGATAAATATTTTCCCCGGATTTATGCTGGTAAAGGTATTCCACTTCTTTATGCTGGTAAATCTATTCCACTTATTTATACTGGTAAATATATTTCACTTATTTTTACTGGTAAATATATTCCACTTATTTATACTGGTCAATATATTTTACTTATTTTTACTGGTAAATATATTCCACTTATTTTTACTGGTAAATATATTTGACTTATTTTTACTGGTAAATATATTCCACTTATTTTTACTGGTAAATATATTTCACTTATTTTTACTGGTAAATATATTCCACTTATTTATGCTGGTAAATATATTCCACTTATTTTTACTGGTAAATATATTCCACTTATTTATGCTGGTAAATGTATTCCACTTATTTTTACTGGTAAATATATTCCACTTATTTATACTGATAAATATTTTCCCCGGATTTATGCTGGTAAATGTATTCCACTTCTTTATGCTGGTAAATCTATTCCACTTATTTATAATGGTAAATATATTTCACTTATTTTTACTGGTAAATATATTCCACTTATTTATACTGGTAAATATATTTTACTTATTTTTACTGGTAAATATATTCCACTTATTTTTACTGGTAAATATATTCCACTTATTTTTACTGGTAAATATATTTCACTTATTTTTACTGGTAAATATATTTCACTTATTTTTACTGGTAAATATATTTCACTTATTTTTACTGGTAAATATATTCCACTTATTTATGCTGGTAAATATATTCCACTTATTTATGCTGGTAAATATATTCCACTTATTTATGCTGGTAAATGTATTCCACTTATTTTTACTGGTAAATATATTCCACTTATTTATACTGATAAATATTTTCCCCGGATTTATGCTGGTAAAGGTATTCCACTTCTTTATGCTGGTAAATCTATTCCACTTATTTATACTGGTAAATATATTTCACTTATTTTTACTGGTAAATATATTCCACTTATTTATACTGGTAAATATATTTTACTTATTTTTACTGGTAAATATATTCCACTTATTTTTACTGGTAAATATATTTCACTTATTTTTACTGGTAAATATATTTCACTTATTTTTACTGGTAAATATATTTTACTTATTTATACTGGTAAATATATTTCACTTATTTTTACTGGTAAATATATTCCACTTATTTTTACTGGTAAATATATTTCACTTATTTTTACTGGTAAATATATTTCACTTATTTTTACTGGTAAATATATTTTACTTATTTATACTGGTAAATATATTTCACTTATTTTTACTGGTAAATATATTCCACTTATTTTTACTGGTAAATATATTTCACTTATTTTTACTGGTAAATATATTTCACTTATTTTTACTGGTAAATATATTTCACTTATTTATACTGGTAAATATATTTCACTTATTTTTACTGGTAAATATATTTCACTTATTTATACTGGTAAATATATTTCACTTATTTTTACTGGTAAATATATTTCACTTATTTTTACTGGTAAATATATTCCACTTATTTTTACTGGTAAATATATTTTACTTATTTTTACTGGTAAATATATTTTACTTATTTTTACTGGTAAATATATTTTACTTATTTTTACTGGTAAATATATTTCACTTATTTTTACTGGTAAATATATTCCACTTATTTTTACTGGTAAATATATTTCACTTATTTTTACTGGTAAATATATTTCACTTATTTTTACTGGTAAATATATTTCACTTATTTTTACTGGTAAATATATTTCACTTATTTTTACTGGTAAATATATTTTACTTATTTTTACTGGTAAATATATTTCACTTATTTTTACTGGTAAATATATTCCACTTATTTTTACTGGTAAATATATTTCACTTATTTTTACTGGTAAATATATTTCACTTATTTTTACTGGTAAATATATTTTACTTATTTTTACTGGTAAATATATTTCACTTATTTTTACTGGTAAATATATTTTACTTATTTTTACTGGTAAATATATTTCACTTATTTTTACTGGTAAATATATTCCACTTATTTATACTGGTAAATTTATTCCACTTATTTATACTGGTAAATATATTTCACTTATTTTTACTGGTAAATATATTTCACTTATTTTTACTGGTAAATATATTTCACTTATTTTTACTGGTAAATATATTTCACTTATTTTTACTGGTAAATATATTCCACTATTTTTACTGGTAAATATATTTTACTTATTTTTACTGGTAAATATATTTTACTTATTTTTACTGGTAAATATATTTTACTTATTTTTACTGGTAAATATATTTCACTTATTTTTACTGGTAAATATATTCCACTTATTTTTACTGGTAAATATATTTCACTTATTTTTACTGGTAAATATATTTCACTTATTTTTACTGGTAAATATATTTCACTTATTTTTACTGGTAAATATATTTCACTTATTTTTACTGGTAAATATATTTCACTTATTTATACTGGTAAATATATTCCACTTATTTTTACTGGTAAATATATTCCACTTATTTATACAATCATCACCAAAGCATAAACCTTCTTTTTAAAATTTCTGGACAGACAGCTACAAACATTTAAAATAACTTTTTACAGGCCTAGAGGTTTGTCCACTGGCACAATATTCTGATTACGAACAACACATCACTGGCGACATTGCACTGGCGTTCCAACAGTACATCATGATGACACGAGACACACATTTCCTCAAGAGTGAGGGTGCAGCTGACGTCATTACAGATATAGCCTCGTTCTGGATGTCGCGGATGACTTATAATTCGGACGAGGATCGTTATGAAATATATGGTAATTTTATATAATGACTATTATCTTCAGTAACTTTTTCTTTTTGATCCATTTTTGTTGTTTTTTCATTTCGTATAATTTTGATTGGTGGACTCAATACTCCTGCTTGTATCATTTTGAAGCAACAATATATCATATTGATACAACTCTTTCTAACAATCAACATTGGATTTTAGCAGTATAATTATTAATTATTTAACTGTACTGTATCGCAATCAAAATTTGTATCATATGCCTTTCAACACGAATTTTGATATCATATGAAGAACACACATTGATATGTGTGCTCTTAGTATGATACTCAAAACATAAAATATACAAAATATAAAAAAATAGATAAATGGATAATCAGCTAAACAATACTTAAGCAGCTGTGTTGTTGAAACTATGTTTTTATTACAACAGATGTAATGCCCCCAGACGAGTACCACTACCCTGTCAACAACTCTGTCTATACTAATACTGTAGCTAAAATAAGTCTCCTTCTGCCAAAATACGCCCTACCCATGATAAACAGGACACCAAACCCACAGTTTGAGATGGTTGCCAACAAAACCTTCGTACCTTTTAATGATACTGGTGACTGGCACCCAGAATATGATGGATATACACAAGGTAAGGCATTCAACAACTGATACAATATCATAGTTCTGTTACAAAACAGTTTCTATCACGACATTCCTGAAAGGGAACGCTACCCAAAACAATATATTTGCTACTGGATTTTAAAGTCTGGATCCGGAACCCAACTGAATCGTGGTATCTTTAAGGAATGGGTTGGAATTTACATGCCTTCTTCCCTGCGTTTTCTATCAATTCTGTTCAAAAACGCATAAAGTTTACTTCAGTTATTACAGAAAATAGAAAGGAAGGAAGCAAAGGCTTCACAGATAGCTATGCGACGAGAGACTTCCTCCTCAGAAACCCACACAAAACAGAACGAAATAACAGCAGAACAAGCAATATTACTGATGAGGCGCTATTCACAGTCATAAAATTAGTTTCATATCAAAATTAGATATAATTGGTTAAAATCTATATCCAACATGTAATATTCCCTGATGAAATTGATTGTTGAAAAATGTTTTTTCTTCCTATTTTCTGTGTAGATGAAATTGTCAAACAAGCGGATGTTGTTCTTTTGGGATTTCCTTTGTTGACCGATATGTCAGAAGAAATTCGGAAAAACGACTTAGAGATTTACGCAAAGGTAAAATTGTTATATACTGCTAATAATAAAGTGTGTGTGTTTGAATAATCAATCATTTATATCATTTCCAAGATGCTAGATATTATATAATTGATTTTAGTTGAAATTTAGTCTTACATATAATAGCAATATCTGCATGTCCGCTGTTTCATCGTAAGGACGTGCATTAATCAATTTATAACTACAAAATATCTTTAAAATATTGAAATATTCCATTATATATCTATCCTGGGTCCGATATTTTATTTTAATTATATGCGACGCTATTGTTTTTGTGTCAGGTCACACCAGGGGGACCAGCAATGACCTGGGGAATGTTCGCGATAGGTTGGCTGGAACTGAATGATACGGATAAGGCAGAAAATCTCTTCAAGAAGCAATTCGGCAACGTCGTTCCTCCTTTCAATGTATTGTTTTAGTTAAACTTCTATCACTTATCTTTTTATTAACGGTACAGAGATTTTTTTATCAAACCTTCGTTATCATAGTGTTTGAAACATTATTTTATATTGGTCATCGATCGGTACACTTCAAAAGGCATAATGTATTGGTATTTTTTCTATCTTTATTTCCGTTATGTAAAGCAGATTCGATGTGAAATATTACTAATGAAGAGGAAAACATTCTCGTGTGTCATCTTTACTTATTCACAAAGCAATTGCTTTTTTTTAGATCTGGTCTGAGGTGGAGGATGGTGGAGGTGCCAGGAACTTCCTCACTGGCATTGGCGGGTACCTACAATCCCTCATTTTTGGTTATGGTGGGTTCAGAATATTTGAGGACAGGCTTCAGTTTGACCCTAAGTTGCCACCGGACACTTCTGCATTCAATTTAACAGGTGTTGATTACCTTGATGGGTCGTTCGACTTTTGTTTCACCAAAACTGATATGTCTGTTACTCAAACAAAAGACGCCATGGGTGTAGTGAGCGTGACGTTGACCTTTACAGGTCAGACTCAGACGCTTAATATCGGGACGAAGGTTCAATACCCCAGGGGTAAAGCCTACTTGTCAGTTATCTGATAGAACATTCCGATCGACCAGTAGTGTTTATAATTTATTATCTTTCGCAAAACTCAAATGAGTAAATGCGTGTTATTTAATTTAAGATAAAAAAGAGAATAAAATATTAATAAGGTTGGTATTGTAAAATGCACAAATGCATCCGTTCACAAAGACTAGTTTGTATATTAAGAAATGATGAATAAACATATTGTTCAAGGATTTCCAACATTTTAAAGATATTTTGTTATTTTTGCTTAATATTCGATATTTTAAGGCCTGTTCCTTATACATCTTCATTTTTGTGCAAGATATCGGCAACTGACAGACAAATTAACAACACCGAGATTGCAGATTGATGAAAATTATGGAAAAGTTTAACGGTCGTCAGAGTGAAATCATTGAGAAATGTTTTATTTCTTTGTGTGATATTAAGTCTGTTGTGTTTGATGATCATTAGTATGGCTTCTGGTTCCGTTGATGTTTACCTTGTTCTCATTTGGGAACGTGACATTGACAAAGATTTACATGGCAGGTGTCGTCGATAAAGCGGAAAACGCTTACCCTTTCTGAACACTGAGTCATATTCTCCTTGTACTTTTTTGAGTCTCCGTGTAAATATTTCTTTTGTTCTAATTTCACCATAGGTTTCATGTTCGATGTTGATTTGGCAAGACTGATAACAGAAAGGCATGGGAAATGCTATTCCAAATATAAGCTAATGCGCTGGAAATTTCAGCCGACTTCACTTGCTGTTTTTACTCGTTTTATCTCGTTGCATGACAATACATCAATGTTCTGTCGATTAAAAAAGTCAGTCACAATGCATGCAACAAGAGAGTTAGTGTTTAGGAGTAGAGTAACGTGTACAATATGACGTGGAGGTTTGCAGGATGTCGTCGTTTTATCTTGCGTCGATTATGTAGTGAAACGCTAGTTTTATATTGTCCGTCTGCTCTGGTAGTCAGGTCAGGGTTCAGAGTTCATTCTTTGTACATCGTGGAAAAATGCATCATGGGATATGTTTACGTGAAAGTCCAAAGGAAACAGACTTACGGATTTAGCAAGGCTTAGGTGACCCATGAGGTAACTTTAATACGGTTTAAACGTTTGAAATTTGATTAATTTTGTTGAAATATGTTTGTTTTGTGGCTCTAAAGGCAAAATATGTGCTAAGGACAGGTTAATTTCTGTATTTTTCAGTTTTTTACCGCAGGTTGGGGCGCAAGCTAGGTGCAACCAAGAACCCCTACACTGTGTTTGTGATGATTGTGAACTATGGCTATAGGAACTAGGAACTTTGTATATGTAATAAAGGAAAGCATTAAAGGCGTTTAGTTTGTGTTTCTTTGGACTCACTCGACATCACAGTAAAAAACTCATGGCTGAAAACCCGGGAAAAAGAACCATCAAAATGACGGAAAAGGCACATCAGGCATTTGAGGACACAGTCGGCAAGTATAAACATAGACTGTTAAATTTATACAGAAATTTAGATTGTCTCATAACTGATATTGAGTATGAAAATATGAACTTGGATGAATTAAAATCCTTGGCATCAGACATTACCCAATCATATGAATCCTATGAACAAGTTTCAACCAAATTCAGTAAATATTTGGAAGAAAGTAGAACGGAACAAGGCCAGGAAGAATTATTATCTCATATGACAGCTGTGGAAACATTAAAATCCCAGTGTGACACGGTTTTGGACCAAATTCAATCATTTATTGACAAAATAAAACCAGTTCAAACTGTATCTGTGGTCGATAACATTTCACAGGGGTTTGTAGTCGAGGAAAATCCTCGGCATAGTGTAAGTGAATATAAAAACGGCGTTTCGGATATTATGTCAATAAAGTCGAAAACAAGTAAAACCTCAGTGCGTTCTAGCATAACTAACATCTCCAGGGTCAGTTCAGTATATATGAAACAACGAGCGAAATTGGAAGCGGCCAAAGTGAGGCTAAAATTTGTTGAGAAAGAGGCCGAATTGCAAAAATCCCTTCAGCTGTTAAAATCACAAAGAGAACTGGACGAGGCAGCAGCCGAGCTTAAGGCTATGGATGACGTTATTGACACTGGTAGCCCTATCAGACATTGTTCACAAGCACCGTCGGATGATGAGGAGTTACACAGGAAGTCTAGGACAGTTGAATTTGTGCAAAGTCAAGCCGAAAATTTGAACACCGGTTATGAAACATTCGACCCCTATTCACATAAAGTACCGTTAAACGTTGAGAATTCACCCCAGGTCAGTGTGTAACTGGACTGAATGATTTGACCAAATTTATGCTAAAGAAAGACTTGCTTATGGGTAGACTCACTCAGTTTACTGATAAACCCGAGGAGTATCGTGTCTGGAAAATGTCATTCCTAAATGTTGTAAAGGAACTTGATGTAAGCCCTCAAGAACAATTAGACTTATTATCGAAATGGTTGGGGCCAGAATCTCGAAAACAGGCTGTAAGTCTACGTGCTGCAAACATACACGACCCACCCCAAGCCTTGTGTAAAATCTGGACTAGGCTCAGTGAGAAGTACGGCGCGCCCGAGCAAATTGAGTTATCTTTGAGGGAAAGGCTAAACAAATTCCCGAAATTAACGAACCGAGATGGTCAGAAATTGTTTGATCTTTCGAACATATTGGCGGAAATTCAGGCAGTAAAGGAAAACACGGCGTTCAGCTCGATAATGGCGTACTACGATTCGTCCAGCGGTATAAACCCAATTGTTTGCAAGTTACCCGTGTTCATACAAAACAAATGGACTGACTATGCGTGCAGATATCAAACCGAGCACAATGTTACATATCCGAAATTCAGTGTTTTCGAGAGGTTCATACAGGAAATGAGCTCGCGAATGAACAACCCGAGTTTCAATTACACCGATGGTACTGCGGTACCTAGCGTCAGCAAAGAACAACGTCGTACTGCGTCTACCGGAAGTAGGAATGCATACGTCTTTTCAAAGAAAACGGAAGTTAATGTGCCTACAGCATTTTTGTGCCCACTTCATGACAGTGCGAGAGAAGTGAAGCATTTGTTATCAGATTGCCACCTGTTTCTATCGAAATCCAAGGACGAAAAGAGGGAAATTCTCTTAAAACACGGCGTGTGCTTTAAGTGTTGTAAGGACAAACATTTGGCCAAGGACTGTACAGAAAAAGTAATCTGTACTGTGTGTAAAGGTTCATCGCATTGCACTATGTTTCATGATGACAAATATCAGCCCCGTCAGTCTCACGGCGAGGAAAGGACAAGTATCAGGGGAGACAATCGTAAGATAAATTCCAAGTGTACACAGTTGTGCGGTGAAACCGGTCCCTTCGTGGGGAAATCGTGTGCAAAAACGGTGTTAGTAAATATCTACAAGGACGGACAACTTAATAATGTGTTGCGTGCTTATGCCATTATAGATGAGCAGAGCAATCGGACATTGGCCAAAAGTGAGTTCTTCGATTATTTTGGAGATCATTCTACGGAAACCGGATACGTACTTTCATCATGTGCCGGTGAAATTCAGGTAACCGGGAGGCAAGGCAGCGGATACGTAATGGAATCATTGGACAAGGAATACTCATTAAAATTACCGTTGATTACAGAATGCAATCATATTCCGAATGTGAAACAGGAAATACCTACACCGGAAGTTGCACGACACTATAGTCACATGCAGGACATTGCTCATCTTATCCCAGAGTATGAAAACGATACGCCCATATTGCTTCTCGTTGGCAGAGATCTCATTTCGGCGCATCATGTGTTGGAACAGCGAACTGGACATGAACGTGAACCATATGCACAGAAATTAAAATTCGGTTGGGTAGTTGTAGGAGAATCGTGCCTAGGTCTCGTTCACAAACCTACGGTCATAACTGTGAGCAAAACGGTCGTTTTACCGGATGGCAGACCTACTCTCATGGATCCGTGTCCGAATTACTTCAAGGCTCAGTTTGAAAAATCCGATAAGTTGCCAATTGGAATGGACATATTTCAAAGAACAAAATTCGATGATATTCCTGGTTACTCGCAACAGGATAAGGAATTCATGCGTGTCATGGAAGGGGAGTTTATTAAGGACGAGTACGGTAATTGGAGTGCACCGTTACCGCTAAAAAAGGAACGACCTACTTTGTCAAACAATATGGATCAGGCAAGGCATCGCGCAGAAAATCTACGAAAGTCGTTACTGAAAAATCCTACTAAGCGCGAACAGTTTTGTGCGTTTATGCAAAACATTTTTGACAAGGAGCATGCAGAGGTAGCTCCCGAGTTACAAGATGGCGAGGAAGCATGGTATCTACCGATATTCGGGGTTTATCATCCCCAAAAACCCAACAAAATCCGAGTCGTTTTCGATTCGGCGGCAAAGTTTAATGGACATTCACTTAACGACATTCTCATGACAGGTCCGGATCTCATAAACAATTTGGTTGGTGTGTTAATGAAATTCAGGAAGGAACGAATTGCGATTATGGCCGATGTTGAACAGATGTTCTTCAACTTCTATGTGCACAAGCGTGACAGAAACTTTCTACGTTTCTTATGGTTTCAAGATAATGATCCCACACAACCGCTAAGGGAATTTCGTATGTGCGTGCATGTGTTTGGCAACTCGTCTTCTCCGTGTATTGCCACACTTGGATTAAGGAAATCTGCTTGCGACCATATCGATTCTTCCGCGTGCGACGAGGTGTGTTGTTTCGTCAAAGAGAGCTTCTACGTTGACGATGGGTTGACCTCTGTATCTGACGAAGGTCATGCAGTGCAGTTGTTGAGAGACACTCAAGCTCGATTACGGCAAAACGGAAACATTCACTTGCACAAGTTCTCGTCGAACAGTGTTGATGTTTTAAAGCAGTTTCCAAAAGAGGATACCAGCGAAATTTGCGATATGGACTTCGATGATATCGTTCATAGGAGTCTCGGACTACGTTGGAAAGTCGGTTGTGATACGTTCACGTTTAGTGTTTCTGATGAGGTGAAACCGTTCACCAAACGAGGCGTACTTTCTACAATACATAGTGTATTCGACCCCCTCGGCTTTGTGGCACCAGTTATTCTCGGAGGCAGACTATTAATGCGAAATGTGTTATCGTCAAAGGATCTTGACTGGGATGACCCTTTACCTCCGGACTTGAACTCTGATTGGAAAAAATGGAGGTCTTCGCTTAAAGATCTGGAACAGTTAGAAATTTCGAGATGTTACTCCAATTCGTCATTGGAAAAGGCAATTCGTCGTGAACTACACGTATTCTCAGACGCGTCAAAGGATGCCATAGGCGCAGTAGCATACATGAAAATTTATGACGTACAGGAAAATGCTTCTGTTGGATACGTTCTTGGCAAATCGAAAGTAGCGCCTTCCCACGGACATACCATTCCAAGACTAGAACTATGCGCGGCTGTTCTTGCTACTGAACTCGGTTTATTTATATCCGAACACGTCGATGTTGTGTTTGACGCCACCTACTACTATACCGACAGTCAGGTAGTACTAGGGTATATATTTAACGACACGCGCCGTTTCTTCGTTTATGTTGCTAATCGGATTGACAAGATTCTGAAGTTATCTTCCAAACAGCAGTGGAGTTTCGTTTCTAGTGAATGTAACCCTGCCGATAGTGCGACTAGGCCAATGCGTGCGAAAGACGTTGGAAAGTCAGTGTGGTTGAACGGACCCGTTGACGTCATGAGTGATTTGCAAAGTTCGTATAGAGACCAAGTATTTCCGTTGATCGGTAACGACGACGGTGAAATAACGTTCGTCAACGAAACAAATGTCATGAAAACTCACGTTCGGAAGGACTTCGCTCTCGATTCTGACCGTTTCGCGAGATTTTCGTCATGGACTAGGTTGGTTAGTGCAATAACCTTACTGAAACAAGTCGCGCATCGTCATCACAACGGAACAGACAATCCAGACGTGTTGCGTTTTGCTAACGATTCAAAGAACCTCATACTGAAGGTTGTTCAACAAGAGTTTTATTCGATGGAAATCGACTGTTTGCAGAAAGGACTGCCGTTAAACAGGAACAATTCTTTGTTGAAATTGTCGCCGTTTCTAGACGACGAGGGGCTCCTGAGGATTGGTGGTAGGATTCAGAATAGTGACATTGACTTACCTGGAAAGGATCCGATCATTGTCCCAGCAAAACATCACGTGGCTACTCTAATCGTGAGACATTATCACGAGAAATCGGAACACCAAGGCCGACATATTACGGAGGGTAAAATACGTTCTTCTGGTTATTGGCTAGTGGGAGGAAAGCGATTAATTTCCTCTATTTTACATCACTGTGTCGTGTGCAGGAAACTCCGAGGAAAGTTTGTGGAACAAAAAATGTGTACTTTACCGCAGGATCGTTTGACACCATGTCCGCCTTTCACTTACATTGGATTGGATGCGTTTGGACCATGGAATGTGCGCGCGAGAAAAACTAGGGGAGGACAAGCTAACGCAAAACGTTGGGCTATAATATTCTGTTGCATGGTATCGAGAGGGATACATATTGAGGTCGTAGAGGAGATGAGCACATCTTCCTTCATTAACGCACTGCGGAGATTCATCGCGCTCAGAGGACCGGTAAAGCACATTAGGTCGGACAAAGGATCTAACTTCGTAGGAGCCGTTAAGGAACTTAACTTGAATGTTATTGACGTCGAGGACAAAGCCGTGAAAGACTTTCTTTCAGAGGAAAGCATCACATGGACTTTTAATCCTCCATATGCCTCCCATATGGGCGGATCTTGGGAACGGCTTATTGGTACCGTTAGAAGGATTCTGGACAACATGTTGCGTAATACTGACACTAAACACCTCACGCATGAAGTGCTTACGACTTTTCTAGCCGAAGCGTGTGCTATAGTGAACCAGCGACCACTGGTACCCGTATCTGACGACCCTGAAAACCCAGTGGTATTGTCGCCAAGTACTCTCATTACGCAAAAGACTGACGTTCCAAATGTAGATCTAACCTTGGTAGACTTCTCAGTGAAAGACATGTTTCGATCCCAATGGCGATGTGTTCAGGTATTGGCCCAGAAATTTTGGAACGCGTGGAGAAGAGACTATCTACAATCGCAACAAACGCGACAAAAGTGGAATCACGAACGTTCAAACTTGAAACAAGGTGACATTGTTTTGCTGAAGGATCATGACTCTCATCGTAATGACTGGCCAATGGGAATTGTTGAATGTGTTTTTCCTAGTCACGATGGTCTTGTTCGTAAAGTCAGAGTTAAGACAATTCGTAATGGACGATCGGTTTCGTATATCCGTCCTATTACTCAGTTAGTACTATTGATGGCAGAGTGAATTATTGTGTTGAACATTGACAGCGACAAGTGAATTTTATTGCTTAGAAACTTTAGTTTATTGTTATTCAGATAAGTTTTGATATTATATATTTTCATCGGGTTATAAATAATATGAATGTTTACAGGGTTTAAATGTAGTAGTGATTTAGCAATCAGGCGAGGAATGTAGTGAAACGCTAGTTTTATATTGTCCGTCTGCTCTGGTAGTCAGGTCAGGGTTCAGAGTTCATTCTTTGTACATCGTGGAAAAATGCATCATGGGATATGTTTACGTGAAAGTCCAAAGGAAACAGACTTACGGATTTAGCAAGGCTTAGGTGACCCATGAGGTAACTTTAATACGGTTTAAACGTTTGAAATTTGATTAATTTTGTTGAAATATGTTTGTTTTGTGGCTCTAAAGGCAAAATATGTGCTAAGGACAGGTTAATTTCTGTATTTTTCAGTTTTTTACCGCAGGTTGGGGCGCAAGCTAGGTGCAACCAAGAACCCCTACACTGTGTTTGTGATGATTGTGAACTATGGCTATAGGAACTAGGAACTTTGTATATGTAATAAAGGAAAGCATTAAAGGCGTTTAGTTTGTGTTTCTTTGGACTCACTCGACATCACAGATTACACTTCTATCAGTGACTATCAGAGGTGTTCTGGTCTTCCCTGCAGTCCTGCCTCAAACCATCACACACTGACGTTATACTTAAACGACACAACTATTCTGAAAGAAGGCACTATAAATCAGGTAAATTAAAGCAATGTTTCCTGTACAGCAACGAACAGCAACGAGCAGCATGCTGTCGTAGTTGCAGAATATAGCAAATAGGTGGACATGTGGACGCATTTGCCTTTAAATCAGGCGTTATACTTTCCGTCCTCAAAAAGCACTTCCACAAACAAACGACCCATACGAAACTGTCTTGAAGTAAACGAGTCCAACATTTGCGTTCCGATAATGATTACGCAGTGTTACATGTACCAGACAGCAGGGAAGCATCCATAAGTCATTCATCATGTTCTATCGGTAACCTAAGCGTTCATTATAACGCTAGGCACAGCTCATCATACCATATTCATCGGGAGATATTTTTTATATAAAGGTTTTCACAAAGTAGGTAAAGATTCTTAGGAACTTAACCTGTGTTAAAATCATTAATTCCTAAAAAAAAAACTTCTTTACACACTTTATCATTGAAAAGCTTTCTGTATTGCATTCTTTGTCTGTGTTCTCGTAATGTATTTGACTTCATTGCTATAGTATATATCTGATCCAGAGAATAACAAAGCCATATACAGTGAAATCAGGTGACACGAATGTCCTATTTACCACACTTTAAAATGGAAAAGAAACTGCTTAAAAATATCGAAACATGGGCCACAAAGCTAGAGGTCATTGAAGGTAGGTGAGAGGGAATCGTATGATACCAGTAGGTGTCAAGGAGACAATAGAACTGGGTACTATAGGTGTTTTAATAATCAATATCTTTAAAATAAATTATGTGATATATCTAGAATGGCAATGTATTTAGATCTTATTAATACAAAACGAAAGTTATTGGTCATTGCAATGTATATTAAATACAATATAGTTTAACATTGAATGAAACTGCATCATATAGCGTTCACGTCCTTCATAGACTCGCTGATGCTAAGGACCTAAATTTTGAAACCCAGGTATTCAAATTTATTGAAATAAATATTAAAAGCCAGATGGAGAGGCTCATTCACCCAACAATTAAAAAAATGTAGCTTTCATTATCAATAAAGTGTTACTATTTAAAGGAAATAAAACGTTGCATGCAGGCTATGGAAAATCTGTAATCTTTTCCGAAATCTAACTACTTGAATATAACAGTACTTATTCACTCACGTATCTTTTACTAAAAGAAGATATCATGTAGCTGACATTGTTTACATACAGGTTGGAATAAGGGAAAATCGATCTGCCAATGAAATCAGAATTCAAATTGAGGGGAAAATATGAACAAAGGAAAAAATTACATAGAGATCCTTACTGAAACGTTATAATTATTAAACTAGAAGGACGTTTATTGCAATTAAGATATTCTTAAAACATTATGTTAAAGGAATGATTCTGACCCCATTTTGGAACAAAACATCATGTTCAACAAAAATCATGACAGTAGGTTAATTTGATTAGCCTTAATAGTTGTAGGTTGCCGTCATATTTTCAGCCGCGTAGTAACTTGTCATAGGTTTAACTCTCTGAACGTTTTACAGCAAATTTTGTCTGTTGGAGACCTGAATAAGTAAACATTATCTATGTGAATATGAAAACAAATTAACATAGAAATTTATTTTTGTGGCAATACAGCAACATATATGATCTTTGTTATGCAATGACAAATTTGAAATAACAGTGTGACTACGTTTACAATCTAGGTCATTAGTTCTTAACCCAAAATAATCTGCTGAATCATCACTATCTCAATATCGGTTTTATCACCACGACCACGATATGCCAGGGTCATTCGAGGCAACAGTTTCTTCATCGGTGTGTGCTCTCTTTATCTCCGAGAGGCAAAATCTTGTTAACAACGACCTTGAGAGTTACAAGGTGATTTCATTTGAAAAGATAACAAAGAGGACAACAGCAATGTAACCTACGGTCTTGGTAAACGATTATATATTTGATTTGCTCGTTTAAACTTATTCGCCATTGAATCATATGTATACAAGTTATTTTAACTAGCTATGATATAACGTTTAAAAACGTTTTTCTGTTTGTAGATGATGGAGGGAAGTTTACGGCGGCAGGTTCGTTGTTTACTTCTCTGTGTGTTGTGTTCTATACACCAGTATCTAGCTGTAGATATACGTATGACAGTTAAAGAAGTGAACGAAAGTACAAATGTGACCTTCTCAATTCATACTAACAAACAACAGAGAGATTTGAATCCTCAAGGCAATGGACATCTCGTCAATACCACACAAGGCAATGGACACTTCGTCAACACCACACAAGGCAATGGGCACCCCGTTAATACCAACAATAACGAAAAATACGTGACGATGATCCATGGGAATACTCAAAAGAGGATAAAATATACAGAAAGACCTTACCCAGCATTCCTTAACCCGGAAGTCACGGTGTTTTCCACCGGCGAGTATGTACTATTACATAGCACGTGTTATTTGAATAATTATATTTTTCAGTGTTTTTTATTCCGTTACTTGAGATATATTCTCTTCGATTGCTGAGGTAAACCCACTTTTAATTTTTCACACTATGGAAGCAAACCGGATGTGGATGTGTACTTTAAATACGCATACGCTCTGTATACAGAGAGCGAAAAGTGTACTATTAGATATATGTACTATATTTGAAGGTATATATTTATTCATAGGTGAGTCATTGCTATATTTAGATGCACTCACGTTGTTTCTAAATACTTAACTTATGCTGCTTATTTGTCAGACTACCCGATGCCCTGTCAATGCCAACTATCGGTAATGGTCACGTGGCTACGGTTGTCCATAGCGACACCATGTATCTAGGAGGACTGTACAATGGCTACAATATAACGAGTCACAGAGCAAGACTACAGTCAACCTCCTCCATTAGCATCACCGGCTTCTCCTTCGATGTAAATACTCGCAATCACTCCCTGGATGTCGGCAGAGGTATGTTAGAGTTTTACCATACATAAAGAAACGAATAAAAAGTTTATTGTCCACAGGCTATCTGAAGGTTTTCTCGCTTCCATATAATTTTCTTGTCATCCCTTCACTAAGATTTCATCCAATTCAACTTCCTAGGAAATGTGATACTAGGTCTGTACATGACTAAGCCTAATCACATACATTGTCTAATTCGGTTGGGTCCGGTCAATGATTTCAAATGCTTCATGTAGTATGACATGAAATAGTTCCTTAAAATCTTAAATTGGAATCCAGTTTGTATTTGTTTACCAGCATATTTTAAGTCAAGAAGTTTGGTGTAATAAAATTATGAACTGGTAACGATCACCAGACAACGCAAGTCAAGTACTGAAAATTACAATTTTTTGTATGGATCAATTTTCGTGTAACAGTTCGTGGACATAATGAATTCGTGAATTAAGATTACCTATGAAATCGACGAAAAACTCCCCCACGAAAATTAATCATTTTACAGTAAAATGAAATGAAAATTGATCGACGACAAATCAGTTACAATATAAAAAATAACGGTTCCTTTCCCATCGTTATGTAGCTATGGTAGTTTGAATAAATCACTCATTTTTGCTTGTCAGAGTCTTGCATAAATTGAGAATTCAAAACCATTGCATATATCAGGTAAGGAATGAAATGACTAATTTTACCATTGATTTCACTATATATCATTGTACATAAGCTAAACGAATGTTTAAGTTCTAACAATCAAATAAAAATGCATTGTATCAAGGTTCTTAGTTAATTTGAACATCGAATTTTAATTAGATTGAAGTTCTAAGGCACCCACATCAATATCTTATTTGTAATTTGATATATAAATGTCTTTTAGGTATATACGTTGAGGAGTACACGTCCGACTTTGTCACTGTTAAGCTGAAGATGTACGCTCACCAAGTCCTCTATAGCCTGTTAGTAACGGAAATTTCTGTGAGTAACGCTTTAACCGGAAATGTCCATCTAAATCTCTCCACCAACCCCGGACCGCCTAGCGATGACATTGAGATCACTAACTCAACGGTATTGGGAGATTTCAAGTAGGTTAAAAAAAACTAACCAGCTTATGATATGTTTATTCTCATAGACTGAAGAATAAAATCTGGTGACAGGACATCAAAATAAATAACATTTTAGGTTGTGAAGTGTTGATTCAAGGCTTCGATAAAACTATTATATGTTTGAAGATTATCAAAAAAAAATCGCCTTCTGTTTATTTTTTTTTATGAATTTTACATCATTATCACTTGAAATCATTAACGTCACTGATTTTCTGTTATGACATTGTTCTAATACAGGATATATTTTGGAACGACGAAAGAACCCGAGTACCACGAGAAGGACAAAATCCCGTTCATGGCTTTATCCACTCTGGTGCCTGACGTCATGAGTGTTCCTGCCGGAGAATCCGTCCGGCGTTTGTTTTTAACTTCAGTTGATTTCAGTTCTTATGTGGTTCAAGAATATCTCCAGTTAGGTATGTCTGTAGGTCAACATAAGTATCTAGGTCAACTTTTTTATAAGTATGTTACTTGACATGTACAAAAACCCTCTCTATTGTCCTCCTCGAACAAACACACACACAGTATCCCATTATATACTACAATTATTTTAATTTTTTCATTTTCAAAGAATTTCCCACTTTTTCGTTTTCTCGCTTCTATTGAATATGAGCTCAAGTGAAAATTTTCAGGAAAGAATTGAAAAAGAGAGTCATCAACTGCTGTGACGACGATACTTACACAAAAGTAGGGGGAAAACATCAATTCACACTTTTTCACTAAGTCATAAATGACAAATAAACCAACCGTCTCCATTATATGTTTTCTGGTTTTGCAAATGTTGTGTCGAAACGATGGTGCAAATATTTCTATTCATTACTATTTACTTGACATAATTTTTAAAAATTTTTGTTTAATGTTTGACACCATAAATATGACAAACATTGTTAACATTAATTACCAATTAACGCGTCAAATTTATAAAAGATGTTATTAATTGTTTAAGAAATATCTATAAATATCAGGCATTAACTTTACATTACAGTTAAAGATATATGAATTGATAACAGAAAGAACACGAATAGATTAAGAGAAAGCTTGCTTTCTAAATTATATATATATTGTTTATTTTTGTTTTATTTACCTATTTATTCATCTATTTATCTATTGTCAAAAATATCAGTATGTACATGGAAAATAAACTGTTTTTAATGTTACATAACTTTCACGTCGAATTGCTTGTTTTAAGGGCTCGACTTTTTCCTCAATGGCATGTTGGAATCGACCCATACACAGGTATGGGAAGAGTCTAATTGGAAAAAGGGGAGGATAGATGTCGGCGGAAACAACAATCTTAGCAGAATCAATTATGCAGCTATGTATTACTTACTCAGCGAGATCCCTTACCGAGATAAAATTGAACCATTCTTTGGAATATCACCTGGTGGTCTAGCCCACGGAGCACTGAATAAGGTATAGACAAGTTGCTAAATGCATTCGAATTATTGAGAGGTTGAATTTTTCGTGTTTCTTTCCTCTTGTTTCTCACTCAGTGCGAAACTATTTTGTACTCAAAGATTACATACTTTTAATTGAATTACGGTGATGTCGTTTTTTTTAAATATTAGTAGATATATGACGCACTGAGGTTTAGACAAGGCAGATAAATGTATTTTAGTCATTACTCTTTCACTATGATCTCAAGATGAACAATCTTAACAACGATCCTGTCAGAAGACATAATATGGTAATTTGCTGACTATGAAAGAGTATGTCTAACGATCCCCATATTTGTTCTGGGGTCCTAGACTCTCTTTAGAAATTTATCTATGAGGTATTTATGTCACGGATACCTTGTTGTTTTGTTAACCAGGATTACGAAGGTCACGTGTTCTGGGACCAAGAGACCTGGATGTTTCCGCCAATGCTCCTTTTGTTCGGTGACAAAGGCAAAAAGATAATCCAGACTCGCGTTAGGACACACGGGGCTGCGAAACAGTACGCTAAAGATAGAGGTTATCAGGGAGCAATGTATCCGTGGGAGAGTGCATTTACTGGTAGGTCGTCCAGTAAACACAGTTCCTTATATTTTTGGATCAAGTATGCTATAGTAAAGGAATATAATTTGTTTTGTATGTATTTTTGATACTTCTGTATGTAACAGAGGTCAATATTTATGATAATGTCCCCGCTAGAATTCGAACCCGGAATCCCTTGCTTACTAGTCTTTCACTAAACCGGTCAAGCTAAAGAGAAGTTCTCTCTCGCCGAGCGGTATATTGAGGCTAGTATTTACCAGGGTTACATGAACTTCTACTTAAAGCTTAATAAATAGTTTTCTTAAAGAATTATAACACAATGAAAACCGAAGTATTGGCGGAAATAAGGCAATGCATCAAAGCTGTCCTTTTTGTGACCTGACTCAGGGATCGTATTAAAATTTGTTGCTAACTTCAATTAATTTGATCAGTGAATTCGAAAACTGAATGATCGTCAATTTCTCGACAAATAGAATAAATAAACATATGACATATTTGGAACAGGTCTTAATGTGTGTCCCTCTACCGAATGTTCCAAATACGAACAACACATCACCGGCGACATCGCTTTCGCGTTCAAGCAGTACATCATGATGACACGGGACACAAACTTCATCCAGAAAGACGGTGGAGCTGACGTCATCACGGATATAGCCTCTTTTTGGTTGTCTCGTATGACGTACAACCAAAGCATGGATCGTTTTGAAATACATGGTAATATAGATATAGAAGAATGGTTTGACTATATATGGTAACATTAATATAACTACGTATGTTTTTTTTGTGAAAAAGATGAAAAATAAGGGATTATAAATGACCATTGTTATACAATCTGATATCATCTGTCTTACAAAGAGAAAATGCTGTGGAGTTTAAAACAAGATTACCTTTCCAGCAAAATAAAACGTAGTTAATTTTATGTAATGTTTGACACCATGGTATAAGGATTGCTGGACTAAGTCAGAAAAAATATAACATACTGTCCACTTACTTGGTACTATCGAAATTTTCAAATACTAATTTTAAAACGACATTCTTTATACTGTGTTTATTTGTGATAATCTTTCAACATGATCTGCTCTTCATAACCTTATACCACTGAAACAACTTCCAGGAGTTGGATTTTGTGTTGATTTTGTCAAATGGCCTTAAACCCCCCCCCCCCCCCCCCCCCCCCCCCCAAAAAAAAAAAAAAAAAAAAGTATAGAAAACATCTCCCTCTGAAGAGATAGAATGATTTTAAATAACACTATAGCTTCATGAATTTGTTTAAAAGCTGATATTCCTTGAAATTATATTACATATGAATATTTGAGAACTGTGTTATACTTAAGCAAGACTATTTTATTCATACACTATATTACATTAAGATGAACGAACACTTCGAATGAAGTTTACATGATAAATCCTAACGATATATGATACCAACTTCAGATATCTATGGCATGTCGGTATTTTTTTAGAAGTTTTAAATTCTATTTTAGACATACATGTATATCGTAAGAAATACTCACTTACATATTGTAATTATCCAATGTTACAAAATAAAATAAGTAAATCAAAATATCATCTCAGAAGTGAGAACGAAAAACGAATAGATTTTGAAACAAATTTTCTGCTACAGATGTGATGCCTCCGGACGAGTACCACTACCCAGTCAACAACTCTGTTTACACAAATAGTGTTGCTAACATTAGTCTCCTCCTTCCCAAGTACGCCCTCTCTTTGGTCAACAGAACGGTGGACCCGAAATTCGAGCAAGCAGCAAAGAAATTATACATACCTTTTAATCAAACCACGAAATGGCATCCAGAATATGACGGATACACACCAGGTAGGCATCTTGAAAAAAAAATAATATCAGTTTCAGGTAAAAAAAAAATAATGATAAAATCAAGAAGAACAAAATTTTATGATTGAATTAACCATTAAGCTCGCTAAACACACATAGTGTTTAAAAAAGTAAGTTTATTTATCTTAGATACTCATACGGAAGGACAAACACATTCTTAAATTAACACTGTATGTCTCAACTGATCTATTCATGTACAGATACTACAGTCAAACAAGCTGATGTTGTCCTACTTGGATTCCCTCTTATGAAGGAAATGTCTGCAGACGTTAGGGAAAATGATCTCAACATATACGAAAAAGTAAGTCAATGATAAAAAAGGGATGCAAAAAAACTTGTAGATCACTGAGGAGAATAAGATTTCATATTGCAATACATATGTGTTGTAACTTTGTATCTTCAATTCAGTTGAAGAACAGTGTTTTCAATTTTATTTTCAACTAATTTTATCTACAAAGAACAAATATCAGTAGGATTGGATATCAGGCATTGACTACCTCAGTCTTCTCCTTATAGTGATAACACGTGGTACAGGAAAAAGAAAGTAAGAAAGAGGCATATAACATATATACATGTGAAAGAGTTAAGGGGAAGTAACTCCTCGAGGTTTATAGATACGATCATCTACACATATCTAATTTGATAAATTTATTACATTACATTGATATTATATATTGTACAAGAACATTGTTTGATTATTAAAATAAGATAGGTGTAATAAAAACAACATGTAGAGAAAGACATGATGATATTGCAATGTTACAGGTAACACCGGGAGGTCCTGCCATGACGTGGGGGATGTTTGCTATTGGTTGGCTGGAACAAAACGCCACATCTAAAGCGGAAACCCTGTTTAAGAAACAGTTTGATAACGTCATCCCGCCATTTTATGTAAGTTTTCTGATTATTGTTCTTTCTGTGAGGCAAGTACATTTGTATCTAAGTTGATGTCATGTCATAAAGCTTGAAATTATTTGTGTTTTATTTCCGTAACTAAATACTTTGTTATATTTCTCAATGAAGATGAGTATTTCTTGTTTACAAACACATGAATAAACAATGATGTTTACATTTGTTATGACAGTGTGTGAAGTATGTATATAATGATGTGTACAATTATGTAACGGCTTGAATTAACATGCTTACACAGTTAAATGTGACTAATACAGTTATTTCCCTTTCATTGTATCGCGAGAGGAATCTGACGTCACGTACTTATTTGATTTTAACGACAAAAATAATCATGACATATACTTGTACTAATGTAGACCTGGTTATAATGTATGGCTAAAATAAGTGGAGTGCATCCCTAGGTTATTTATGTTTCCGATATACATTACAATATATATATATATATATGACAATCATATCGAATTGCGTATCTGATATCTACGTGGCCTAAATAGACACTAACATTCTGTCGTCATGCCTCTGTTATCTCCATTCATCTTCAGATTTGGTCCGAAGAGCCGGCAGGACGTGGTGCTAGAAATTTCCTAACGGGTATGGGCGGGTACCTACAGTCCCTCATGTTCGGGTATGGTGGATTTAGAATATTTGAGGACAGACTTCAATTTAACCCTACTCTTCCTCCTGATACGTCGACCTTCAATATAACCGGGGTGGATTATCTGGGCGGATATTTCGATTTCAGTTTTGGTGATAAATATATGACAGTAAACCAAACAAAAGCTGCTTTAGAGGAGATGAAGATAGTTATAGCCTCCACTGGTCAGACTCAAACTCTAGATATCGGTGTTATAGTTCAGTATCAAACGTGTCAAGCGGCGTTAATGCTTGTATAACGATACCTTAAATGACCAGACTTGAAAATATTCTTGTAATATGCAATAAATTTAATCAACTAGTGTGTTATAAAAAAAAACTTGTAACAGTATGAGTGACATGAAGATGCAGAAACATCTAAGTGTTGATGCATACCACGAACAACTATAGCCCTTTATATATAGTCGAACTTCATTAACTCATATAACACGATGACCCCGTATAATTCGAAGTATGTAGTCTGTCCCTGCCAAAATTTTCACCAAATGTTCTATCTCACTTAAGTCGAACACTCGGATAGCTTGAAGCTTACCAGCGGCCCGCCTACTTCGAAATAACGAAGTTCGATTGTATAATTACCATGATATCAAATGGGTTGTTATTTGAATTCGACTTCTAAATTTCCACTCGTTATGGCCCCTAGGATCACTAATGATTCGTAGAAGGACGGAAAAGCTGCATGATGCAACTGAATTCATTTTTAATATAATTGTATCTAATATTGAAATATTCTATTCAATTGTATTTTATTTACAATCCTTATTAAAGCTGTGCATCTTCTACTAATTCTCGTATCGTCTTTGTTCTGCTATTACGGAAATAACGTTAGTGTACCATCGACATATGGTTAACAGTGCTTGAATATCGCAAAAATGTGTTTGAAAACAGTCGATTAATTACAGTTCACAAATAAGGAAGGGACGTATTTTACGGACTTAATATGCAAGATATCCCCTTGTTGATAACCGATGGCAATTTCAAAATGTTGGATAGCTATCATGTTCATAGCTTATTTGACTACTAAACATCCATTTCTTATTGTGAAGATATCATATACAAACCATGGTAAGGGATATCGGAGCTAAAAGTCTGTTTGAATGATCAGAATGATTGATACTCCTGTCCCACATAGTACTTAAAGTGCATCGATTTTGCCATAATGTGTTTTGTGATTGATGATAACAATATCTTTGTTCCTATTTTTCGACCGTTTCATCAATGTGATGTTATTATTTTGGTTTGTGTTTATATTTGCCAATTTTTGAGTGTTTTCGTATATTTTTGCCTTTTCCTATCGATCCCATCAACCAAAACAGTCATACCAACAAAATTATTTAACAGCCCACTACTTGACAAATATGAGACAATGTACACACGTTAAAAGCCGAAAACCACCACAACACGCCTTCTCAGTTACAGTTTACATGTTTTGATATGTATATTTCAACGTGCTATAAAATCTCCATCTGGTTCATCTGATATACCGACACTTATCGAAATGTGTCAAGCGAGATAAATATCATAACATTATGCAACGAGAACGTCTTTCAAACCAGACATTATGACAAAGTTTCAAATGTCTCAAAAATTTGAATTTAAGACTTAATATTGGCTAAACAAACACTACGCTAATTGTGAACTGCCTTTGTTAACCTATTGATACTCTAAATGGTATGTATTACCAACTACTTTGGAACGATGCTGTCAATGTCAATATAGTTATGCAAATGACTTTACACGTTGAAAGTGTCACAATGATATGTACTATGACCTGTTACGAAACCATCTTTCGCTTTGTCCTATCAACTTAAGCACTGTTGGTTATCTATAAAATAACACTGTTATATATACAGGTCGTTTCCAGAAAAACACTTTAACACGATATGAATTGTTATGACGAAGTCGAGATATTTATTTGTGACGATATTTCCCTTTATTTCCAATATTTTTTTATGTAAACACAACTGAAGTGCTAACCATACAGGGCGGACCAATCTCGAAATTGTGTGGTTTTCACTGGTCAGTTCAACAAATCCATGAGGTCAACAGATAAGATAGTCCTGCCATATATTAGGACCATGTGTCCAAACGTGGTCACTCTCAGAGATTGGAGAGCCACGGTTCGGACTTCATCATGAAATACTTAATCATCCTTAGTGCTCTCGCTTGCGTTGCCTACTCTCAACTTCCCGGGCCTTGTGGTAAGTAACATCAGATTCATTCCCGGGTCTTATGGTAAGTAACATCAGATTCATTCCCGGGTCTTGTGGCAAGTAACATCAAACTCCAAGGTCTTGTGATTGTACCACTATATATCAAATCCAAGTGTCAGTTTGTAACAAATATCACGGTATAGGGGTCAGACTGCACGCCGATAATTCTTAATATTTATATCGATTAAGTTGTAAGTGCACATTCGGTTTATTTTTCCCAGATCGAGGCTGATTACAATTTTCTATACTTTCCCTTTCTAGAATTCCATCCCTGAAGATTTCGAGAAGGGGAAAAAAATCTTATGTACATATGTATGAAGTTGTTCGATTCATTATAAATATGATTTATAATCGAAACATTACTTTTTAATATAGTGATGTGATTTATTTATCTTTACTAAGATAACATCAAAATGTACTGACTTCGACCCCCAATTTTACAACATACGTTAACATATGCGATTAGCTAGTCCGAATTCCCGACATTTTCAGGTTTTGAAATACTAGAATTTGATAAAATAATTAAAGTTCGAATTGGCCCTAACGGCCATTTCTATACTGCGATGTAATTCTATCACATCTGCATACCCATCCTAACAAATATAACTGATGTATATTGATTTCAGAGTCGCCCAAACAATGGGAAGGGAGAGTTTTGACTGTAAGTACTATTAAATCAATTTATTTGTTTTTGTCTATAATGATTGGTCTGAAAGCCTTAATATAAATAAATAAAACGTGTTCAATCGATGTTGTAAAGCATTTTTTTTATTTGGGGTTGGTAAGTATATAAAGAAGAGAATTTATACATACATGTATGTCAATTCATATTCGCTTCATTCGGTACATTCGTACACTGTAGGTGACAGCATAATCAGCAAATTATCACACTTTTTTTTCCTGGTTGTGATATGAGAACCTCTATTCTTCATGATGATAGGATGTGAAATATAAAGACAATCCAGACTTAAAACTCCAACATTCATTTGTATTTTTTTTTTTTTTTTTTTTCATTTTCAAAATATTTCTTCTTAGCTTGACAGGAGCAAGAATTTCACTCAGATAGGAAAGGTCAGCTATGATGAAACACAAAGAAGAGAAAGAATTATTGAAGAGGTTGAATTCGGATCCGACCGGGATTATTTCGATTCTCTATTTCTCCATAATGTCGTAAGTACAAGTTTTCTACATGACAAATTTACATCTGACGCGAAGAACACTTCAATCAAATACAGATATATATAATCTTAGTAAAATATCAGTTTTAAGTGTTTGTGAATTTCCTGGGACCTTTACACGCTTTTGTAGTAATGACAACCAGTTCAAACGGAAAATTCGATCCGAGTTGATAATTCAAATTTGTTATCCACTTCAATGAAATTTCCATATCATGGAATGATATCGCACATTACTAGACATGCAGAGAGACATGCGGCATTAGAAGAATATACCTGTGTGAAACAAAACAAAAATGTCAATATTAGTTAACATTGACGCGCCAATAATTTCCATATATTGCAGGCTCCATTTTACCAGTCATATGATCTCGCGTCATACCAAGAAATGAAACCTCAAAATGGATTTCAAAACATTAAAGCATTATTTCATTGTAGGGAAAGGGTTATATCCTTAACCTGAAAACGAGGAAGTGTAACGTAACAAACTTGACAGAACCATTCATCCCCCGTGGTATTCCTCGGGAGGCCGAATTTTCTGGCGAGGCAACCATTGGAGCTGCCGGTGTTCCCGGAGAGTACATGGTTGTGGAGAACTTTAAGGGTACCTTCAGATCTACTGGGGCCAAGTTCTTTGGTGTAGCCACTCGACCAGATTGCTTTCCAGTCGAGTTTGGTTATTACAACGAGAAAACTGGATTTGTTCAACAAACGTAAGAACTACACTTTTATCTTCCGGTTACTATAAATAGAATGATTTGTAATACGTTGTATACTTAACAGTTTGTATAGTTTTTTTTTATTAGTTTTATACAGTGAATTTACGTGTTTAATAGACAACACATCCAGAAAAATACTTGTAATTCAGATTTGTAAATGATTAAAGAATAAATTGTTTCTTTTTCAGAATATTTGACGTCAATATTGGAATTTCTGATCCTAATGTTTTCATTCCACCAAGAGAATGCCTTTAGATTTTTTTTAACCTATTAAAATTATTTCCATAACTACTTGAATATGAGTCTTTTGTCCTTAGCCACAGGCAAAAATATGCTCTAAAGGTGAGAGGTTATACACACTTTTGAGGGAGAACATCTTCAGTAATTACATATAAGTAAAGATATTTGGATTATGTAATAAAGCGACAGTCTTCATCTACACATGCTTATGGTACTGGCTACATAACTTTACTTCGGAACCTCTCTTACATTGATATCTGCATACAAATGATGCTAAAAAACGATATATTTTAATGATATTATGATTTGGATCCAATATTGTTGGTTACTAACTGTACAGTTGACATAATGATGACACCGATGAACAGTTGTAGATATTAATTAATGTAGTTGATTTATCGCATGCTTTTCTTATGACATGCATAAAATGTAGATAACATTAATGGGAGAAACACACCCTCACGAACTCGCTCCATGCCCAGTTTGAATACCTGGACTAATTGTCATAGTATCATAAATGAACGTCTGAACAGTGGATTGATATTTTTAATTTTTAAACAAAGGAATATTTGTGAATGAATAAATATGAATTTGTGAATAATTTAATTGAGGTGTAGAACTGTACAGAAGACACATGTGCGTTTAAAAGAAGATACATTAAAGTCAAGTTATAATTAATCTTCATGGAAAAGCTGTCCTTTTAGGATTCACTAGTGATACTAGGAGCAACTGTACGAAAGACTTTTTAATAGTAATACTAATACTAATATCAAATTTGATATAAGAATATCTGTCAGGCTGAACAGTAACTGGTGTATGCAATATGGATATTAATAATTAGATTATTGTTAATATAAATGTTGCAATGAATCCAGTCATTCTATATATAGAATGATCAACAAAGAAAACACTGCAATACCTGTCTCATCAATAAGATTTCGATATATGAAAAGGTTCATATATCACAAGTTCCTCATACTATCGCAGTAAATACAGACGTTTTTAGTCCGTGTGGCCTGAGATAAGAGATTACATATCATTTCTTATCAATGCTATACAGCGATTATTTGTATACACAGTGCACAGCATTAAATTTCATTTACTATCAAATACAATATAAGCAAACAATACCTTAATATCCATATAGAGAAATGTCTAAAAAAATTCAAACAACACATAAAGAGTACTATTGCTTTACGAGTTACAAAATTACATGTAAAACGTGACTAAATATTCCAGGCAAATCACAAATATCACATTCATTTATGTAATATATCACATCAAAAAAATACTCTATTCCTTCGTAATGATCTGATTCAAGTTAATATCAAAAATGTTTTAGCGATTTCGAAACTCCAGTGTGTCACAAAATTGCTCGAGTAATCTCGAGAATGGGTCAAAGATAAGATAAAACGACTAGCACGCACGTTATATAAACCTGTCCAGTGCTGTCCTTTTACTCTCGGGGAAATTCAGCGAGTGAGGCATAGAACATCTTATCAACACCAGCCATGAAGAGTCTTCTACTTGCAATACTCCTTGGAGTGGTAGCGAACGCCCAGCTCCCTCGCCCCTGTGGTATGTAGAATTTCAGTATTTTGTTGATGAGCATTTTGTGTTAATGTGCATACCGGGGGAACTGTTCACCCTCTATGGTTGGTGGATTAATGAGTTATGTTTATTTTGTCGTTAGTGAGTTGCCTAGGGAACAGTGCTGGCTTTAAGTTTAAAGGACACTCTTTTCCTGTCCCGATTGTCTTCATTTACTTATATGTACCTTCAAATAATATTGTCTTTCTCACTTCTTGTTTTCATTTGATTGCATTTAACTGAATACATTATTTCGACATATCTGCAATAAAACTGGGGTTGTATTATATGATTCTTTATCACATTACATGCATCTGTCAATTGCTCTGAAAAACCATGTCGCCACAAATATAATCGACATATTACATTGCAAATACATATATCTTTGAATAAATTCAAATGAATTTACAAAGTCGAAATTTTCAATTCTCGAAAATGTAAAATGAAGAGGTTGCAAAATAGTTGTAGAAATACATATCTTTGAAAAATAATACAAACGTTTGCTTTCCTTTTTTTTAGTGTCACCAGCACAATGGGAAGCCAGAATGTTCACCGTACGTAACTTTGACAATTAACAACTTTGACAGCTTTGACAAATGTCTTTATCGAGATAAAGTAAAAGCAGTTAATAATTATATAATTTTCGTATATGGTTTTGCATAATCTGTACATACCTAAACGCATAATTACTTAGTCATATGAACGACATTCAGTTAATCAAAATCGGTCTCAACTATACTTAACTAAATTAGATTTAACATTATTCACTTAGGTCTTTATTTGATTAATACTTTTAATTGATTGAAATTAAAATTCAATTGATAAGATTTAGTTCACTGAATTTCACACTGACATTAAGCCACCCTGTTATCTCAACACCAGAATAAGAATGGACTTTTTCAATAAGCTTCTGTTTTTCTTAATTTCATGTTTTTTATCAAACGTAGAGGTAAGATACATCGGCATACCATTATTAGTGTTTATGTTATTCATATGCAAATGTTTACTCGATGTGATAATCTTATCTATATTAGTCCTCTTTGATTACAGCAAGACATGTCAAGAAACTTTACCGGGTACGCTAAAGGAAGCTACGACGAGACTCAGAGGAGATTCCGTGAGATTGAAGAGGTGGAATTTGGCACCGATAAGGAATATTTTGACGTTCTTTACCTTCACAATGTCGTAAGTACAGTGTCAGGTGCAAGGTTCCAATCACTTTTGTATGTTTCAGATATGATAACCCCACAAACATAATTGAATCATTTTCTGAGTTGAAAATGAATTTTTATTTTTTTTTTAACGAAAATAAACAATGATTTTATTTTCGTAATATTAATAGATCAATTGAAATACTTCTTGTTATTTCTATTTTTTTCTAAAATGTCTTTTTTCATTCTCAGGGAAAGGAATACAGGCTGAATTTGAAAACAAGAAAATGTAACGTCACCAACCTAACACGTCCCTTCAGGCCCTTTGGAATTCCCCCTGAGGCTCAATTCGAAGGCTCTGCCACCGTTGGAGCAGCTGGTGTTCCCTCAGAATTCATGATGGTTAACAATTTCCATGGCAACTTCAGTGATGGTGACAGATTCTTTGGAACTGTGACGTCCCCCGACTGCATACCAATTGCCAGTGGCTTCTACAGCAATAGCACCGGATTCGTTCATAGAACGTAAGTAAATTAAATAATCAATAAGGAATACAGATAAATAACATTTTTTACATTTATTAACTGATCAATCTATATATATTATCTCAACTAAAACACGAAAAATACATATACCTAATGCTCTCGCACTACCATCCGCCATAATTTTCGTGTTTGATGAGTTTATTTTCTGGTTATCTATTGATAATGTGTTGTTGCTATTAACCTATCGGATAAAGTTGTTTGTGTTTTGTTTTGTAGACAATTTTTTCTTATATGCTTTTTTTCATCTTTTGAAGATTTTTCGATTTAAACGTCGGAATCGCAGACCCAATGGTATTCATCCCTCCAAGAGAATGTATTTAAAGCTGGATTGTACTGTGAAAGCAATTTAACAATAAACAATAGAATTAAAGATATTTGTCGATTATGAATTTATCATATCATATAATATGATGTAATCACGTGATTGCGATGTTATTTAGTAAATAAATAATGCTCACGCGGAAAATGTTAACAGTTTATACCATGACGTCATTCATAGTTAGAGGAATTGTGTTGACACGTTATCGAAACTAAATAAAGAATTTTTACTGTATGTTTAAGAAATACAACAAAAACGTGTTTGCTTCAATATCTGAAAAATAATGATATTTGTCTCCATTTCAAACGAGATTCATCGAATATTTGTGAACAATTGTAAGATAATAGAATTTAAAGAAAACATAATTCAAACTTTGGTCAGTATTTCACAAGTAGGATGTATTTTAAGAACTTTTTCACATGAAAAAGGTTTCAAGAATCTAGCTTGATAGACAGATAATATGAAACGAACGTGTACGAATTTAACACTATGCACTAGATACCACTTCTACTAAAACAAGAAAATTGTTGTCAAATGTGATATTTGACCCTTTTACCTTGACCGACGTCAACCTTGATATAATAAGGTGTAGAACTAAAAAAAACAGTTATAAAATTATTGGATTTATATGAAACACTTTTGTAGAGTTGTTATCTATCAAAGACATTGATTCGGAAGTGGACGGGCAATCATGTGTCATACTAGCCTTCCCCTATAAAGGTTATAAAGATTCATCGTTAATCTAACTCCATGAAGATGTTCTGATCTCGCACTCAGACTTGCTTTATAATTGATAAAAGACATCAAATTGGATAACAAATTCAATACAAATATAGAACTACATACAGCAAAGCTTTGTAAGTGCATGTAAGAATATGTGAGGATGTGTGTATGTGGTTTGTCAGTAATGGCGGAGTCGTCGCGTATAATATCATTCTGTTGTAACACATTTTTACACCTTGGTTTCATCTGTTATCAGTATAAATCCTATATCAATAAGTTAGTGTAAATAAGTTTTGCCATAACTGGAAACACTCTCTGGAAAATGTATTTCCTATCGATATATTTTATTTTGGAAAGACTTCATAAACAATGGTAAAAAAGAATGAAAAGTAAAAAAAAAGAAATTGAACTTATGAATTATTTAGTATTTGTACATAATACAATATAACATTACAAATGCCATACTTCAAAATCTCATTGATTTGCTTATAAATCCGATGTTAAAGAACCTAGGAACCATGCACTGAAATAAACCTAAGTGGTAATATATGTTGCATCAACACATAAAACTGCAGCAGAACCTTCTTAAACATGAAAACGCCAAAGATACCAAAATTATACAACTTTCAGCTGTAATTCAGCTGTGCATAGAGTAGTAAGAAAATCAATTCGAACGAGCTCAGAATAGATGGAACAGGCAATAGCAGGTTTTAACTTGATAACAACGAATCTTCCAGTTACATTTAGAACAACTAGCCTATCTACCTTCGTTGATAGTGGAAATCGTGATATTGAGAGTCATCTGTAACCATTATATTGTGTTCTTATACACCGTTGATGTTCTACATTAAGTAATATCAATTATTAATAAGTACTAGGATACGAAGACCAGACGTGCCGGTAGAGCAAGCATCTCCTCCTCGTCGTAATTACCAAGAGTGTAAATCTAGGTCATCCAAAGAAATGTGATGTTTTCCAAGGTTGTTCAAAAGACATACAAGTGAATAACACTATTTAATGAAAAAAAAACTAATCTGCGTTAACGGCTGCTTCAGCCTTCTAGGACTCGTCAATGATGTTACATCATACAGCTGTTGTTTCGTCCTTCTAGGACTCGTTAGTGATACTACATCATACAGCTGCTTCGGCCTTCTAGGACTCGGCAGTGATGCTACATCATACAGCTGCTTCGGCCTTCTAGGACTCGTCAGTGATGTTACACCATAGAGCTGTTGTTCCTTCTTTTAGGAATCGTCAGTGATGCTTCACCAAACAGCTGTTTCGTCCTTCTAGGACCCGTCAGTGATGCTAAGGGCCTAAATTTTTAAGTCGAAGAGGCACTAAAACAGTGTCAACAACGATGAAAACTATAATGATTATACATTTATATTTCATTCCGATATATGATGATCATAATGCTTTTCTAGCGAATTGAAAAACTCTGAAAAGGACCAATGCTACATTTATTGTACACGGCTGCCTTCAGTCTTTGTTAGCATTGGAATATGGGACATTTTGTTTTGTACAATAAAAATAATTACCAGAAATCATATCAATTGGTAGTTAGCTTATATATTTTATGAACACATATTTTTTGCTCGTCTTTTACTCTTGTACCAAGTTTGCTTTCTGACTAAGAAATGCCGATATGTGAACAGAATATTAATTCTACCATAAATTTGATGACACGAGGGCAAAATATGAACAGAAAGAAACAGAAACACCTTTGTGAGTTTTTTGTCACTAAGTTTACTCTCTCTGTTTCTTTCTTTCTTTCTTTCTTTCTTTCTTTCTTATATATTGAACAAAATTCCGTTTTAGAACTGAACAAATAATATATTGCTAACTGTAATTGAATTATCAGCTACTATACAGAATTTGAAATAATTCGTGTTTAATAGCAAAAAAGATAAAAGTAACATTTGTTATTTATTACTCTATCTTTGGCAATTTTCAGTATAGAAGAAAAAGTCTTAATTTTTCATCTTATTTTTTAAAAGAAAATAAGACGACTTAACTTTAAAGACATTAACACAAAGTACAAAAATATAATCAAAATTTAATGGGAGAGAGGCGAAATGTTTATTTGAAGACTCTTTCTGATATCATAGCTTCGGTTAGATAGGTATATTCTTGGTTAAATGAGGCAAAGATACATACAGTATGTATATAACTACACATTTTAAAAACAAATCGTCTTGTAAATCTGGTGTCTGATATGGTTATTCCACTATGATGATGGACTGTTTTTTTTATGTTTTTCATTCACTGGTATGTACATACATTGTTTAACCTACATAGGTCACATAAGTTTTTTTTATAACGATTGAACATCCGTGTAGGAACAATTGCGGAACTGCCAACTTTTCTGCGTGGATGTATGGTTGACATCACGAGTAATCGACACGAAACAGACAGTAAACAAAATAGTTCCATATATATCCTATACGAAAATACATCGTTTTATTACGAAAAAAAAATTAAAAATACATTTCATAAAGATACATCAATATACCATACAAAACTTTCTCACATTTCCTATGCAACGATTAACTGGCATAAGCATAACCATATTGACCGCACTGATTTCTACAGCAGCTTTAACACGAAGGCGCCAACCATATGGCAAACGTATGGTATTGGAAAGTCTTCGTCTACGTCTGTGGAACGAAATGTAAATATACCAAATAAGATATATTTCTTATGAGGATAAAAGAAAGACACTGGAAAGTTGTATTAAGATCTAACATTGAAACGTGATCTATCTGAAGTCTTTGTTGTTGTAATAATTTAATTTTTTGTGGTTTTCAAATTATATGCACAGCAATTGCCAGTGTTGTACCATCAGTGAAATCTTACTTATTATTATATATATATATATCTTTGCATTGTTATGATTAGCTGTAGATTGATATACCGGGAGTGGAAGAATGGAAGAATGTCATTTGGTTAAAAAATGGTTAAAAAGAAATATTAAAGTTCTATTTATCTTTCATACCTGATAAAATTGTACATACCTTAATTACTTATTTATCTTTTAGGTCTAAACACTTCCAATTTCGTACATATGTATTAACATGTATTTATCGTCTATGATGTGTTTTTTATTATGATGTTAGAATGATAATTTGTAACCGTGACTGTAAAATTAATTCTTGCTGAAAACACATCGTCCTAGTACTTAGTAACTTGATCATCACACCTATGTTTATCTCTGACGATTGTTAACCAGACTCTATACAGGCTTGTAACTTTTATATCACCTATTTGGCGTTCTTTGGTTTTTATATCATAACTGTCGAAAAAGGCATAACAAAGTTAATTCAGTAATCCGATAAACCGAAGTATCTCTTACACACATGTAAAGAACTGACTGCTCAGTATAAGCGAACTTAAAAGATTTTAAAGAATAAGATAATTAGAACAGATGTGTTTTAAAATTCACTATAGAAGTTAAACATTACTTGACAGTACAACAAATCTTCGTTATTTCCATTTAGCCCAAATAGACGACACAGCTGAAATCTATCCCAAATCTATAGATGAAAACGTAAATTGTATTCCACATTAGGAGCCTCAAGCTTAACAAATACAGAGCAATGATGTATTTGAGGGAAGGGAAATCAACGAATGCCGCACGTTTGAATTGATACGTGCCACACTGAAGGTATTCGTATAAAATATTGTTTTAACGATGTAATTAATCATAATCGTAACTGATCAAAAACTTATCACCAGAAATTTAGAATCCCCGATATCCGATAAATAAATGAGCTTCTATTTTATTAAACAAAAAAATAAAAGAATTTTCTTTCTTCAACGCGGGAATTTGGCGTGCTATTTAATTCCCCTTTTACGAAAGTTCTAATGAAATTCATCTGGAGTACGTAGATTAAAAAATGAACCGCTTGAATTTTATTGCGTTTATTGTATCTGGATTGTTCTTTCCTTGTCGTGTTAAGACCTCAGTTGTACATTTCTCTTATAAATTTGTTGAAATATCAAGTGCATTCGTACTTATTCTATGTAAGCATTTTCTTACAACTTTATCATTTTCTCGGTTCTCTGCTTTATCTGAACGGTGTCAAAGTTACACATTACGACCTAACGTAACATGACTTATCATACGATGGAAATGGAACATCTGTAACAATGCCCAAATCAGTTCATTGTCGTGAATAATGTCTTTTTTTGTGTCATGTTATGTGAAATCCATCACGTAGAGTTATCCTTAGATAAAAAAAGATTGTCACGAATCTATAATGATTTGTAAAATTTACGTTAGATATCTCCATCAGCTTATGAACCTCTAATCTACCTACTGTTGACCACCTACAATGCATGCACTTCAAGGAAGGAGTCATTTTCGCTTCTGTTCCAATGTCGGTTTTACTATATATTTTTGTGCTACTCCATGCTCTAGTTTTCTCTCTTTTTCAACCTTTTAGAATTTTAGCTTTCCTTTAAAATTCTCTGTCTTTCGCTAAGTATATCGATGGTCAATTGTTATTGTCTCTATTTAAGAAAACAGTATATTATTTTTGCCTCGTTTGTTGATCAGTTCCCAAAAACTTGTACTCCATCCTTTGTACAGGTAGCTTATGCAGGGATACGAATACATCCAAGAACGTTTTATCTAAAGAACGGAACAAAACGAATTATGGTAAACCGGCTCCAACAAATAAAACCTGGTTATCTAGAAATGTACCTTTCCAACCTTCCTAAGTTTTATTTTAATTATATAGAACTGGCTGGAAGAATAGTTGCCCAATTAAGCCATTGATTTCATTAGGAAACATTCAGTAATACCAGTGTTGATAATTCAAAATAACTCCATGTATTGTATGTAGATAAGACATTGTAAAATATCAAACATCCAACAGGAATGTTGGATTTCTCTTTACCATGTAAAGTCCTCAGATAGGACGTAGAAATTGTACCTGCAGTGATTGTGAAAGTCTTAAGTAAGCAAATCGAGCAATATTTAATTGCGATAATGTTCACTTTAATAAACAATTGCTTTTGTCTAAACAAACGATTCTTTGACGAAGCTTTAACTATGCGACTAAATGTATTTGACAAAAATTGTGCATTGATATGCGGTACATATCAACAGGCTACAGCTTTGTATCGCTTCACCCTAAAACTTGTGGACAAAATTTAAAACATACACACATTCATACAGTCATACGTTTTAAATAATAAAATTCGTCAATTTCTGCTATAAATAGATTCAATGTTGGGGAGACAAACCTTTTTTGATCGAGTGTTGATGAAACTTAAATATTTTGGCGAATTTTGGTTTTCAATTGTCGGCTTCTACGTTTACACACTTGAGGTCCTTAGTCCAAGAAGAAGAAGGTTGAAACGTCTGTATGATTCAACTTAATTAATTCTTCTGTATGTGATAATTATGTTTATTGAAAGGTACTCTTCACTTGTGTATCTATCATTGTCTTACAGAAGATAACCAAGAAGCGAGCACCCCGATTCAATTTAATGCTTAAAGTAAAGTAAATGTAATGAAAAATGGCGTATGCTATTTGATGATGACGAATTTCTAGAGATACAACAATCATACCATAGCTTATGAAATAGTCAGTTGAAACTCGAAACGACAGAATTTATCCCAATAAATTACATGTAATAAACAGAGGGCGATATTTCCAGGTTGAGAAATATAACTTCTCTCAAAGAGTACACCAGTTTTGACGATATCTCAGGCGTTACCCATCGAAAGGTATGTTCAAGAAAGATTTTAATCATTGTTTACTATGAAAAAAAATCACGAAAATACCAACATGGCAACATAATCATAATTCAAACTCAAATTCCATAAAACTAACGCAATATATGAACAAAAGAAATATTTACATGGAGACTACTGAAAAGGTACAAAGAAAACAAGACAAGGATTTCCAGAAGATTAAGCGTCTTCTACTTCATCGACGACACTCGCCATGTAAACCTTAGTAAAGCATCATCCTTCATCTTTTGAACCTTTTTGTAACTAGTTTTTCAGTTAACAACTTGAAAATCGTGATAATGGGAACAGACCCTTGAATATCGAATCAACTGTGACATGTAAATACAATACGTTGGAGATAATTGAGATATGAGATAATTGGTTGATGTAAACTGATAGATATTGTTATCTTTCTTATTCCAAAACTTGAACTTAAGCATTCGAATGAGAATATTAATTAGAAAAAGGCCCGGTCTGATATAAAGAGTAAGCATTTTTTCTTCATTTATAAGTCTCTGCAAAGGCCAAACTTTTGCTTATTGAGGAGAACTAGATAATCATGCATACAAAATTTACCAAAACCGAATGTCGCAAATTCTTACTGAGACCTTATAGTAAGAACGCCAATATTATGTTATCTGACAATGAGCTCTGCATAGATGGTGCACATAGATAAAGAATTTTTGAATACCATATGCGAAAATCCCTTCACATACATTTCATATGCACAACACAAGAGGTATAATTATAGGACATGAAAAATGTTTCAATTTATGTTTGTCGCAAAAATAGCATAATTATAACGAAATTCACTCAAAGACAAAAGACAACGATCCATAAATGTTTGTTTAAAACAAGAACTGTTTTTACATCTGCAGAATAGGTAGGTTTTTTTATAAAAACAAAATGAATAGGAGAATATATAAAATACTCGCTGTTACTAACGTCCATCTCTTTTAAAGATGAATTTACACTCATTTACATAAACATACTTATATTTACATTTAGCAATCCGAAAATAAATTCGGTTGCATTTTCACTGCTCTTCATTTTCGACCTTATCTGTCGTTAGAACTTGAGACAGTAGCCAGTATTGAGTTTGACGCCGCACATTTCAATCAGATTTTAATACTGAACTCAAATGTGATGAAGTGAAATTTGAAATGAATTTGTTTTCTTTATATTTGAAAATTAAAAATGTGTTATATCATTCTAAATCAAAGCTCAGCGTATAAAAACACTTCAAACTGTTTTATAAATTAACAATTCATTATATTGAACATGGTGTCTTTCATTTCTAAGTCGACAATCCGGGCATGTGAGGTCACACGAACGACATGGGAATCAACATATGGACTGTGTCGCGACATTTGCTTAGGCGTATCGTGTTGACATGTTACCAGCCAGTTGTCAGCAATACGTGCTGAACAGACAATCTTGCTATCTGTGCAAAACCAGCAAATAATGGAGCTATGATGCTACTCTTGTCATCTTCCAATTAAGCATGCACGATACTTTAGGAAATAAAACTTTTGATAATTTATTAATCTTATTCTGTTTGTTGCAAAGCCGGCGAACCAATTACTAAAATAATGCATGTAGATACCAGAGCTTTAGAACCTTTTTTGTTATAAAACCTTCACATTACGTTGAGTCTGAATCGGTCACTGACCGACTTTTTAATATCATATTGTCTATAAATAATTTTTTGTTTGGCCATTTATTAGAATGCTAAGTGTTTCGCTGGTATGGTATACGTTCGACCATTTTTCAAAATAATGTTACCGGATGAGAAAGTATGTAAATCTGAATATCATTATATCAAATTTCAATAAGGTATTTCTCGAGTATTTCCAATTTTAATATTACTTACAATGCCCTTAAACCCAAACACAATTAACATTATAAAACAATCAAACAACAGATATTATAGAAAGCCCAAACAATTTATATTGGAGAGACCCCAAACAACTAATATTGTAGAAAGCCCAAACAGTTTATATTGTACTGAACCCAAACGATATAAATAATTTTATTATGCATTCCCGAGATGTAGCTATTCGTTTCTTGATTTAAATTAAACTATAACAACCTGCTGGATTCTATATTTCACAAAGGACTGTACAATATATATAGAGTCTGATACAAGGTAGCAAAGCGATGAATATAACAGCATCATAAATTTAGTTTATTATATTTACTTTATTATATAGATCATGATGATTCAACAGAATGAAGTTCATAAAAAATCTCGTCATCACTTAATAACACACAACAAACCAGAGAATCAGAGAAGAAACACAGAGGTAAAGCAAACGTATCTATGGAAACGTAAATGGGCGTACAAAAAATTATACGGTAACTCATATTGATGAAAAAGATCTGTGTTCATTTCATTGTGCAACGATGTATCTTTTTACAAACTCTTTAATGATTTAATATACAGTCGATATATGTAAAATCGCAGTATACGATGAACAAAAGGAAGTAGGAGGAATTGTAATATAACATATACTGCGATTGTTATTTCTGTCGGATCTGTCCACTCTTCATTTGATACGATAGTATTAGATATCAACTAGTCTTACGTGTCACTCTTGGTCAGTTATGTAAGATGTGTTTACGTAAAGTCAGATAAATCCTGACCTCTTATAACCGAGTGGACATCTTAGGCCAATAAGAAAGAGATAAGACAGTGTCCATTGTCACTTTGGTCAAGAACAATTCACGATGAAGGTTGCCCTTGTCCTGTGCTTTGCTGTCAGCACTGTGCTGGCTCAAGCTCCTGTTCCCTGCAGTAAGTATCTTCCTCGAACAACTACTACAACATTGACTTTTTGGCGACATGTATTTTTGCAACTCCTTTTTGCACAGTTTCTATTGGGAAAAATAGAATAGATGGAAATGATGTTTAGAAGCAGCTATTTCAACCATATGGAGAGACATGAAACCTTTTGGTGCATTTCATATTAAAACAAATTGAGGCTAAATTGAAAATTCAAATACTCCGCTTTCATAAAACATAATATAGAACGTTGAAGGAATTGGTTAAATGTAAGGATTATTATTTAAATTCCCAGAGATTCAATAAGTTTTAAGTTTTTGCGTTAAATGAATGGTATGATTTATTTTCTTCTCAAAGACTCGCCTCCACAATGGGAAGGAAGGGAATTGAGAGTAAGTAAACAAATAATTTATACCTACATCATTCGATTAATAGTTCAAACGATAAGTACAACATTTATTTATTTTACATTCTAGTATGATTCTCAAACATTTTTTTTCTTTTCTACCATAACAAGCTTGAAAAGTACGCAAAATTAGGACACTTTCAGAATGTTTACACAACAAATGTTCACAAGAATGAAAATCGTAACATGGCACGTGTGTATTACATGTAATTTTATGCTCAGAGCGCGAAATTTTAATTAGTTAAAATTTAATTCTATCTTTTTTGAAGGAAAACACTTTTTTTACCCACGAAAATGACTAGCTATACGGAAGTTGAAAGTATCCAAGTATGTCATATCCAATATGTGTTATTTGATTTCTGCATTACTAAGGTTGATTACAGTCAAAAGTACGAGGAATATCGGCGAATCTTCTACGATGAAACCAACAAGCGAACACGTACTATTGCTGAGGTTGAGCTGAATAGCACAAAGGAATTCTACGATGTTCTCGATCTCTACTCAACGGTATATATTGCTTGCATTATTTGCGTGGTTAACAGTAGGGCAAAAATTATGTAAAAAGAAAAAAGAAAAAGTAGACATTTGAAAAACCATTTGAATTTAAAAATAAAAGAAAAGAAACGCTAATTGAAAAAAGCAATTGACTGTCACTTTCAAGTTATTCTTCTAAATCCCATTTTAATTACTGGTATCAGTTTGTTTTGATATAAATTTTTTATCACCACTCATCGAAAGAACTTTCCTACAGAACCAGCGATACAGCATCAACATGAGGACTCGTCAATGCAATGTATCTGTAATCGACAGACCCTTCCGCTACCGAGGTGTCCACCCCAACGCAAAATTCGAACAGTTGGTATCACTTGGAATCACAGGATTTACTGGAGAGAACATCCAGTTAGCTATTTTCTCTGCCAATGAAACTGATGGTAAATATATATCTTGTTTTCTGTAACACTAACATCAACTTATTACTGTCAAATACAAAGAGTATATCAGTATGCATTTTCAAACCAGTTTGTCAAAATTGTGTATAGAATATCATAAACAGGAATGGGATACGCTTCTTTGAATATACTAGTATGAACAGCTCACTTGTGCGTGTCTTTGTCTTAATTGCAATTTTTTGTTTATCTTTTTACCAGAATTTTACACCGGAACTGTTGCTTATCCGGCATGTATCCCCGTCACCAACATTCATATCACACAGAAATACGGTTTTGAGCACAATGAGTAAGTTCGTAATAATATCATTCGTCAATACTAGCATTTCAAAGAGTACAACAGGAAGGTTTGCGAGACAACGTTACATCTTTGTATGGATGAAATAATGAGTCAAGCTTTTAAATCACTTATAAAGAATAACCCGCGCGCCAAAAGTAGTTCGGCTAACTCCTGAAGAGAGATGTTTTCAATATTTTCTGTCCCCAATATTTTCCATTATTGTGTTTTTTATTGTTTCGCTGCTGACATATTAGAACTAATTAAGTAACTAATTTACTACTATATCCTAACTGAAACACCCATAGCATTGCAGACACTTATACTCAACAAACGGACAAAGAACTCTACAAAAAAACAAAAAAACAAAAAACAAAATACCAAAACAAAAATAAAAAAAAAAAACTAGGAAACCAATATCAAAAATTTAAAAAGTATGAATTTGAGTGTCGACTCATGGTTTTTTTTTCTTTTCCAGTTATTTCGACATCACTGCCGGAATTTCCGACCCGATGGCTTTCGTACCTCCATCAGAGTGCACAAAATCTTAGATGTAATAGGTTTATGTAATTATTAATTAAACGAAAACAGAACTGATATTTTGTACGTGTTTTCATTACCTATTATATCTATTGTGTGACGGGAAAGACATCGTTTTACAGTTTGTGCCGGATTTCAATGATATTATTAAATCTAGTATTCGTTAAGATTACACAAAGACATTTTTGCCATATTTCAGTATTGATTGAAAAATTAAACAATGATGTAAATAAATCTACCGATATATATTTTCGCGTTTATTTTTAACGGATTTTCCAAACTTCGTTTTTCTGTTAGTCCCTGCAAAGCAGTTGGGTCACAACGAAAGTTTTGTCGATTTATTTTTTTGTTTCATAGATCTATCAATAATTTCCAAATCTTGAAATATCAATAGTTACTCAAAAATTTTACAAACAATTATTAGTTATAACTGACGGTTATCATAAAGATACTACTTCCTATCCAACCAGACTGATTTCGTCAAATCTACTTTTCTTCTTCTTATGTATTCTCTAACTTTCATTGTCCTAAGATCAAGAGAAGCACATTGAAAAAAATCGCCAAGTTCATGTATACAGTTGAATATTGAGTAGTATCTAATGACAATTATGAAATAATTATCATGAGATACTCGTTTATGTTGGTCTGACTATCAGATTGTCTTTAGTTGTATCGCTGTCAATCCGAATGTGAATTTTAATAATAGTTTATTGTGTCTTAAGAAATTGATACCGCCACTTTTCACGTAGTCAGCAACTTATATAATTCGGACAAATTTAGATTGTATTTTTTATATACACACATGCGATGTACAAGTAACGATTGCAGTTGACGAATTGTTCTCATTTTCAAACATTAATGTCGCGCTATTGGATTTGTATTCTTTTTAAAAATTCACATTGGAAATCAAAAGGATACAATCAAGGACAAAGGGAAGTCTTCATGCAAAACCTGAGAAAGATCTATCCAGTACTTCTTAAGAAATAAGGGTCACAAACTTTCAATGTCAAAATCCAAACTGACGTCTTGTCAGTTATTTTGTTTTCCAGATCTGTCCTATAATTTCAAGGGTAAAATTAGGGAACAAGAAAAACCTAGATATGAAATTTTGAGAGAGATAAATCCAGGCTTCTAGCAAGAAATAGCAATAACAAACTTTAATTGAAAATCAAAGATGGCCACCTGTCAGCTATTTTGTTTTTTCTGAAATTAAAACGGTCATAGTGAAACATGCATATAGACAGACGGTGAATCATGAATGGAAGGCATTTAGAATAGCTCATCATCTGATTATAGTAGGTTAAGAAGATCTATAAATCATATTGAGATCCTAAAGTTTGGCTTTGTAGACGGATTTCAAATTAGCAACAGCAACAGTTCTGAGCTTGTAACGGCACATGAAATCAGATAAGGAGTACCATAAGCAATACTATTACGAGACATAGAATGATATTTCATAATCTTGCTCGTTTAACATTTATACCTTCGAGAAGATAAGATAAGGGACGATGGTCACCAGCTATTGGCTAGTTCGATGTATAATAAGGAATAGGTATAGTACAATGTCACTTCGGTCAACAATCCTCAACTCGACATGAAGGCCGCCATTCTCCTCTGTCTCGCCTTTGGCGCTGTCCTCGGACAAATTCCATCTCCATGCAGTGAGTAAAAATTTTATGTAATGAATTTCCGCCTGAATATTCCTATCAAAGTGGAATCTTCTGAAGAAAAGTGAAATGAAGTTGTATATAATGAATTACACTGGGACTTTGTATTATTATCGTATTTAGAATTATTTAATAAACCTTCAGGAACTGTTAGATCAGTTACATTATTTCGTTTAATGTTATGTTTTATAACAGAATATGTGTTTGTTCTAAACTTCCGCCTGTTTACTAGTCGGTAGATGACTTTGTTTTTTTCACAATAGACATTTTGAAGCGACCGATATCCAAGTTACTTTAGCTCTATAATACATCTGCTGTTACTGTACATCTGTGTAATATTTTTCACCTTATTGAAAAGAGAACGCAGCAGAAATAAGTTAAAGATGTTTAAATATTTACAATTATGGGATGTATTTTGACTTGCAGACTCCCCACCCCAATGGGAAGGGCGTGAAGTCAGGGTAAGTTCCAATAGCATCGTGGAGAAAATCAACGTCGTCCTATCAAACTAAATGCTTTAACAAAATCAGACAAAAAAGGAAACGGGTCAAATTATCCATTCATTGAATAACTTATATTGATAAGAAATTAACTGGAAATCAATTGATTAATAATATCGTTATACGACATCCGAATTTCGCAACTTAAACACGTTGTCACATCCAATATATAATCTCGTGACGTAATTTATTTATGACGTCACTGTAAGTGTGATGTCATATAATAATGAATGCATAACCGTGTAATTCCAGGAATGACAAATTATTTATAATATGTTGCTTTGCTTAGATGGATTACAGTCAGAAGTATGAAGAGAGGAGAAGACTGTTTTACGATCAGACCAACCTGAGGACACGTACAATTGCTGAGGTCGAAATAAACAGCACCCGCGAGTTTTATGACGTCATCTCTCTATTTAAAGAGGTAAGCATTACAATATCAGTACCTTCAGTACATGAACACTTTAGTTATAAGTACCTTAATATTTCGTATAAAACATTTTCTAAATCGGATCAACAAATCGCATTAAGAAAACACCAATATTAAACCGTATAACATTGTTTTAGTACCATAGTAACCAATGTTCTAATAGAAAAAAAATATCATGGTTACAGTTCATTTCATTATCATTACGAATAATAATCACCTTATTTGACATTTTCATCGATAGTAAAAACTTTAAAATATTTCAATGAACGAAACCTCCTTTTTCTATCCCTGTTACCTAGAGGAAGATGTACAGTTTGAACATGAGGACAAAGACCTGTAATGTAACAAACATTGAACCCGACAGGGCATTCCACTACCGCGGTGTCCACCCCGATGCCAGATTTGAGGGAATCTTGTCATTGGGCGCAGCAGGATTCCCAGGCGAGAACATTCAGGTTGAGGTTTTCTCCGCTAACGAGACTAACGGTAAGAATTCCACATAACGGAACAAGTAAATTCTATGCTAAATATATTGTTCTTTTTAATATTTGTGTTGATTGTTTATATATATTTCATTTTATATCGTTTTGCATCCTTGAGAGGTTCTTATTGATTATCAATAAATAGAACAAACACAATCGCAACCTATTGGTGCCCCATTTTTTTGTTTGTTTTGTTTTCTTGTTTCTTTTCTTCTGACCTTTTCTAAATTTTAATAGCTCTACCAACAAGTATACAGTCAAGAAAGAAATTTATGCAAATTAAAGCGTACAATCATAGATATTGTAGTTTGCTAACCTGACACATAAATCCTATTTCAAAATGGGTCACAAATACACACAATGATGTTATTCGCTCCTTCACTTTACTTTTGAAGAGAAATCAGGAACGGGTGTATTTCACGCAACAGGTCGATGAATATAAAGATAAAAAATCATTTGTTAGAAGCTACAATTCATGAGTCTATTAGAAACTTTTTTTTTCATTTACTGACAGACTTTTACACTGGAATCGTTACCTCTCCCGGATGTATTCCCGTAAATAACATTCACATCTCTCAGAAGTACGGATACGAGCATTCAGAGTAAGTATACTTAATATAGTGATATGCTGTATTGAAGCGTTGCTGCACAGTGAAATGGTAGAAAATTCATAAATATGATTTTATCCCATTAACAGACATGAGTATAAGCCTGAATTTATCTAACAATAAGATAACAAGCTGTTCGCTGGTCACATGGATCATAGTCATTACTTTCCTTAAGACGTGTAAGTCTTTGATATATTGAGGTGCCAATCTATCAAACAAACTCTTTTGTAAATTTTCCACTGCCTCCTTCAAATTGCACCAGTTTGAAGACATGAAAAAGTTGAAATTACTATTACTAAGATTGATCTTCCTTTTAATCAGAGTTTGAATGTTACAAGCTTATTCATAAATACTGAAAGAATATATATAAAATGGTGTGTTTAGATTCACAAATTAACAACTGACTTGCCAATTGAATATATATAATGATGTCACTGGTCATTGAGCTTAAAATTAACATAAGGATTACTATTCAGGACTGCAAGAAATAAAAATGAAAATTCAATGGATTAAAAAGGAAAATCAATTACTATGTTTATGATGTAAGATATTGTATAAACATATGATTTATTTTCCAGCTATTTTGACATCACTGTCGGTATCACCGATCCACAGGCATTTGTACCACCAACAAACTGCAAGCCACCACCATCATAGGCCCCGTACACTTTGTTATTAAAGATACCATAAAGAGAAGTGTATTCTGTGTTGTTATTTACCTAATACATATCAGAAAAAGAGAGAGATCTCGACACATTTGAGTGATATTGAAATATATATCTGAACAATTCCTCATTTCATATATTATCTTTGACAGAAGAAGGCACGATACAAAAATAACGACTAGAATATTAATTCAATTTTAGTATTTATAAATCGAGGTCAAAACTTAAACAATAGAAACAACAAATGTATACGAAGACCCAGTCAAACATTTTAAAAACTATTTCTATTAACTAATTAATATGAAAGGCTCTGCTTTACGGTACATGTAATTATGAAAAATGATGACTTTTTCCCCATTCAACTCCCATAACTTTTTATATTTGCAATATTAAGCTCTATATTTGAGATCGAAACATGAAGCAGTCTTTAATGAAGAGTATTTGACCCAATTCAATGGTTTATTTAAGTTTTGGGGTACGATGGCTTACACCCATGACAAGCATTATAAAATAGGCCATAGTACAGGCCATTGGTGACTTGGAGAGTGCATACGTTTGGTGATTTGTCAAAAAGCTTTATGTGTGGAAATAACCTTTCGTTATATTAAACGTGAATGCATTTTAAAAGTACCTGACGGCGAAGAAATTACCGACATATCAACGGAATTATGAATCAATCTCAGATTCGATAAAACTGTTGCGTAATATAAACAAAACAAATATTTACACGAGGCCAATGAAAAGAAACAAGGAGAATAACACTAACTGTTCCCAAAGGATAGGCGTCTTCGGCTTCGTCTCGCCATTTCAGTCTAAATCAGTATTTCAAGTTCCCAAATGATATCAGATTATTGTCAAAGGAAAAATCTAACTGCCTCATAAAGCTATTTTGTGCTTAAGGCTTGAAATCGAAATAGACTGAAGAAAATTTGGGAAAATGAAATGTGCTTTTACAAAAGCATTTTGAAAAACATGTATGAAGAGAGTCCTTATAAAAAGAGAAGACTAACATGAAACCTTATTTTACTAGTGATAAGAAATATGACTATGTACGAAGACATAAACATCACCTTTTTTGAAACAGTTTTTCAATATCCAGTTATATCATCACTCACATGTTTGTGAGATTTTCTCTCTAAGTGTCATACATAACTGGCAAGGCTATTGTTTTCTTGTAAGGAATACCATCCGTAATTTCTATATCGGTTCCATTAGCAAAATCAACCGGAAAAAATATTAGAGATAATGCATAGAATTTTAAATTAAAACTAGCATTCTAAAAGTTTATTGGATTTTGATCGATGATGACTCATTGATGAAAACATGTAGTAACAGTCTGTCTATGTCTATTTTTGTGGGGTTGGTGTGCTAAATCAGTCAGATATAACAGATATAAACGATAAATTTGCAGTTCAAAATTTCTAGGGTAATTTTCAATTATAGAACGAAACAAATACAAAAATTATTGTCAAGCGGTTTGAAATGCACCATTTTTATCATATCATACCTAAAATATTTTGTGATAGATTTTCTATTTGATATCACATTAGTACTGCACGTTTCTTTCAAATTCGATAAAAAAAATGACTGTTTAACTTGTTCTTAAATTGTCTAAAAGATCACTTTACATACCATATATTAAAATATACGTCTTTTATCGGTTGATAAGTTATTTATATAGCAATGCAATATCTATGATAAATACTGATGACGAGCGATACATTCCTTCATTTATGAATTTACCGTCTCCTAAAAATGATCACATGTTTTTCCATTTCGCTTTGGTCGGCATGTTTGGGGTTTAGCATCCTTAAAAAACTAGGAAAATTGTTTCCCAATTACCCCAAACTAAAACCACTAAACTGATCGTCCAGATTCTGTATGTGGCGCGACATAAGTAGATAATTCAATATTGTGGGGAAAATGTTTTACTTGTCGATTCTCCAGAATCTTCTGAAAAGAAAAGGGCGCACCTCAGCTACAAATAGTTGCCTCTTACAACACGGTGGGAGTTACAAAAAAACTTTTTTTTTTCCTAATGTATTTAAAGCACTGCAAGTGTTCTACATTATACAGTCAGCATCAGAGTGATGAAACATCAACCTTAAAGAAATAAAACAAGACATCACAAACTGTACAAATCCCTCCGAAATGGGAATATCGTATAATATATGTGACTGTATAACAAATAAGAGAGATAACTACATTTGGGTAAAGGCAGAGGGCAATTTTTATAGTTTTTTTTTTTAAATGTAAATTAGAAAGGACATTGGCACTTTAATTGATTTCATTCATGGTCATAGAAACCATTGGTATGGAAATTTATTAAACAAAAATAATAAAACGTGCAATTTTCTGTTGTCTGGTGATGAAATTACAAATATAAGCAAAGGGCAATAACTCTGTAAAAAGTGAGCTCAATTTACAATTGGCAAACATGCCCGAGATTATGGCATAGAAAATATGTGTATCAAGTTCTTGAACTTCCTTTAGAAAGGACGTCACTGGCGTGCTGACAAAAAATGGGCATAACTCTGAAAAAAGGGAGCGTCTAATGACATGCGAACATGTCCCAGATATTGCCTTAGTAATTCTATGTAAGTTTTGTGAAATTATATTGAGAGGTAAAGCTTACAGAACTCTTAGAAGAATGATAAAGATGATAGATTACCTTATCGTACAAGTCAGTGAAATGTCATTGATAACCTTTCATGGATCCGAAGAATATGGTTGAAAAAAAAATGATATTTTAGAAAGTTACATTTTGCAATAAACCTATTTAAAGAAAATAAAACCAGTTCTTATCAAAATAGAATATTTTCTATAAAATCAAATACTCAAAGATATCATTAAATTCTAGTAAAATGTTACTGCTTTATTAAACTCGCCATGAATAAGTAAATTAATGTTTTATTTAGCCTTGTATACTATATCTGACAAATACATATTTAATGTCGAATAAGTAAATCTTGTGGGACTAAAAATGACAGGTAATTCCTTTTGCAAATGTCGTAAGAATGGTTATCGACTAGAAATGATATAAAAGGAATTATGATAAGCACAAACTCTGTATTACACAACATATCAATTTATTGCTGTAATCTTGAATTATTTCCCTCCCCTCGAACAAAAAACAAAAGCCATTTGTCTATGATTCAGAAAGATATCAGCAAAGACAATCTCTAACCTGTTTCACCTCACGCGACTTTCCGTAGATAACGACTCCAAGGCTACAGTATACCTTTATCTTTACAAGGTCATTGTGACGACATTCCATATGCCTATTGATTAATGTCGGTAATACAACGGGTTGGCTGAAACTCTACAATACATCCCATTAAAAACGAAACAAACTAGAACTCTCCTCCCAAAACGAATACACAGGCTATCATACATGAAAAAGTCATTGTTATACATAGCTTTGTAACCGAATGAATGGAATTAATTAAATAGTATCAACCATATTTGCCACGTGGTATAAATATGTTTTAGTAACAATGATAGTGCGCAGTAAAGTTATTTTTCCGTTGAAATCGACCCCAAAAATTCAAGCCCATAATTTCTTCTCAATGAAACTTAAATATTGAATGGTGCTTAAATTTTAGTTTCCATGGATTAAAGGCAGAATGATCGGTAAGGGTAAGGTATCGCACATTTTGTTCTGTATTGTGAGGTTTGCAATTGCAATGAAAAAGAACAGATTTTAAAGCATGGCAAGTAAATCTACAAACAGAAAAATATTGCTCTTCTATGAACAAAACAGACACGGCAAGTCTGAAGTTGGTGTGCGGTTTGTTAAACTAGTGCAATGCATGACATACTTTGGCAGTACCTTTCGTTCACTGATAAGATGTAATATTTTAGGCACTGGTAAGTCGGTCTAGTTTGTGATCGGTCTCACGTCGACATGAAGACAGCTGTAATTTTCCTCTCCGTGGTCGGGGCTGTGTTCAGTCAGGTTCCAACACCGTGTGGTAAGTATTATGGACAAAAAAATTTTGTCTCAAAATGTGCCATAATATTTTTTTTCTACTATTAAATACAAAACACGTGAAGTCAGGTAATACGATACAATAAATCGCCCCAGTCTGATTTCTGATGTTAAATAATTACCGGTTATGGTTGAGAGTACAATACAGGCGGGGAAAAACGACAGGACCATAATAAGATATTAGAGTGTTAGACTTATCATTACAGTAACTTGTGAATTATAAGTACCTATGTAAGCCTACACTGACAGTAACGTGAGACACTATAAAGATTTGTTTTATTATTACAAACATAGAATTGAAGAATTAATAAGATCTTAAAACTGGGCAGTGTAGTTTGATGTCTCCTCGGTGGAAAACCCTGACTACTTTGTTATTTTACTAGGATTTGACATTTTCCTCACTTAGACTTTGTGCAAAGAATTAACTTCTCACTCCTTGATGTTAGGTATCCTTTTTTTCTACTAAGCTTCGAAAGCCTTCATTTGTCTTCATTTGACCAATAATCTTATCAACTGATCAATTGTGACAAGAACATAATTGTTTGTCAGTCGGCACAATGGAATAGGTGTGTATATATCAGAGTGTGTATTCCTTTTAACTGATATGTTTTATATATGTTATATGAACAAAATAAAGATTTTCAGGAAATTCTCGAAAAATTACAAGAAGAATAAAACGATGTGTTCCGACAGTGTAAGCAGGGGTACAGATATGATACTTGACTGAAAACAGACATTTTTTTTAAAATAAATGGAGAATGGTTAATAGTTTTCTATTTGATATCATATAAATGTTGGTATAATCTGTCATACAAGGGATATGCCTCAAGTATGGTGCTCCATCATAAACGATTGCACTTTTAATTTTTTACAAGTTTAACAATAAAAAAGCAGAACATAGTTCATACACTTTGTACTAAAAATGTGGGAAAGAGCGGCAAAACTTTTTTCCAAACCAAGTTAGGATAAAATCTGCGCTGTACACTGCTAAGGAAACCATTTGGTGAACAAGACAATATGACTGGATATACTCTTGTTTCAGAATCACCACGACAATGGCAAGCCAGAGAGCGTGTGGTAAGTACATTATTCTAACGAATGAAATGTAGTTGATGTTAGTAGTTTTGCTGACAGAAAAGTACAATAAGAAGAGAAAATTGCTTTTAACTGGATATAGAATAAAAGAGTTATCACTACTGTTTTATAGACACAATAAGGTTAGCGAACTAACTATTTTTATGGACACAATAAGGTTAGCGAACTAATTACTTTTTATAGACATAATAAAGTTAGCGAACGAACTGTTTTATCGACACAATAAGGTTAGCAAATTAGTTGTTATTTTTATAAACAGAATAAGGTTAGCAAGCAAGCACAGATTCAAGCCTCGTCTGATAATAGACGCATACTAACTTTAAGGTATGTAACTCAAATGGCCAAGCGCAACGGCCAAATTTTTGGAAATCAGCGATTGTCACATAACCGCTCAAAACTCACATAATGTATCATTAATGAAACCGACATACATGTGACTCTCGAAAACGGAGAACTGGGGACATAAAAAATATTAAAAAATAGATTCGTTCTCAATCTCTTCGTAACTATACGTATATGCGTAGGACTTAATTTGATTGAATTGTTTAAAGTTTTAGATATACTACATCAGGGAGTGTAAAATACAGGTTAAATAGCTGATTATTTTCTATCTGTAGGCAGAATTCGGTAAAAACTTTGAGGAATACCACAAGGTTTACTATGATGGATCAAGCGGTAGGGAAAGGAACATTGCAGAGATCGAAGATGGCTCCGACAGAGAGTTTTTCGACATCCTATCATTGTTCAATGAGGTTTGTATATAATTGTAGAATGTTCCATTTTAGCTGACTAAAACTCATGCTATTTATGATAACATTCCCGGTCAGTAAATGTTGTATTCATAATTTTTAAGATTTAGTAAATAAATGAAATATCAAAATTGTCTTCAAGTTTATTCATAGATTCAGTATGATCTAATGCGTAGTATTTTGTGATATATGTTCCTAACGGAAATAATATTATAAAGAATTAAATAGAAAATATAAAAAAAGCAAAAAAAAAAAAAATTTTTAAAAATTCCGAAAGAAAATAATGACAAAAAATCACATAATAAGAAAAAGATATACGCTTTACATCATAAAAAATTTATTGTTCACTTTCAGCTTTTAGGTGAAGTTGCACGTTATATTGAATAAATGTCAAACGTTAAGCAGTAATAATGAATATAGCGTTTTACTATTTCTTAATGGAGATGAACGCATTATGTACAGGTAAGACATTCAGGCTTTATTCAAAATATACAAGAAACAATAAAATAAAAATAACGTAAAAATGAATTGTAAAAACACTTTTTTTTCAGAATAAACGTTACATGATCAACATGAAGACCCGACAGTGTAACGTGTCGTCCATTAACCGTCCATTCCGTCATCGTGGAGTGCCCCCTAACGCCCAATTCACCAATGCTTTCACTCTCGGATCAGTGGCACTCCCTGGCCAGGGACTCTCAGTGCAGTCTTTCATAGCTAATGTGACCTTCGGAACATTCCATGGTATGTAAGAATGGTATTGTGTTTCCTTGACGTTCGATTAAACTAGTAATTGTTCAGTGGAAAGTTAATATATATATGGAAATCTTGACTGTTACATAAAAATTTTGATATGAATTTTCAATGTGATATGCGCCATGAAAATAACAATTTTCTTGACGAATGCCTTGCCCACGAACAGCAGACATTTACAAATCTATGTCATCTTCAGTCATGCATGTAGATAAGACAAGACAAGGAACCTAAATGTTATATATAGACGATATATAAGGATGATCGTGATACTAGTTTACCATATGGGTGTCATCTTAAAAGGATGTGTTTCAGAAACTGATTTGGTGATTGTAAAATTATGCAGAACAGACTACCCTTATAGACGTGTAACAGAAATAAATCTAATATATATGACATCAGCTACCAACATTCTAGCAATTCATACGGAATTCAGGGGACTCTATCTTATTTTGAACAAAACTGAATTTCAACCAAAATTAATATTTTCTAAGCTTAATTGGACGATTTCAAAATGTTCTTTAGCAATATCTCAATAGACAACACAAGGACAGAAAACACAACCCCTGGTGGAATGAAGCTTGTAGTTAAGCAAAACTCATCAGACGTAGATGAGAGGTTTAATTTAATAACCAAACAATTAAATAGAACGATCAATAAAACCAAATAAGATAATTAGATAGAACGATTATGCAACTCACTAGATGACCAAACAAACGTCAAAACAGTAGGGAACAATATATGGGATATATAGGTCATACTCACCCCTGTGGAATATTCATTTAGTTAAGTAGGCAAAAATTGTAAGGGCAAATATCTAGTGGACCAATTTACGAAGGCGGGTAGTTTCAGGAGTTGCACTGGGGACGTTTTAAATAATGAAACAACACATACAATAAACAAAAACTAAGTTACAGATGCTTGTAAGAACATGCTAGTTTGAACGTCTATTTTCAGAACTGAAAAACTGATAGTTCTGAAAAACAAACAAACAAAACAGTACTTCCCCATGCACTAATGGTCTATTATATACCATCCTTAACTGTAAAACACTGTCCAGATAACGTTACAACTATCAAACGAAAACCTCCTACCCACAGTCTTGAAACAACGTTTCCTATGCCTATTCCCAGAGTTATCTCCCCTACGTTCAAGGAAAATTAAAAAAAAAAAAAAAAAAAATATGAACAAATCACAAACTCAAAAACAAATTAGCTTATATGATACAGTTTGCAGATGATACCAGTACTTGCTGCACAAATTAAGCTATTGTAAATAACGGTAAGATCATCCGCAAAATTTCAATTGTAATTCAAGGCTGGGCTAACGATTAGGGTTTTAAAATCTCAAAGGTAGACACTCTAGCTATGTCCTTCTCTAGAAGACTTAAAAATAGCTCTATATCTAAGCGATAGGCGCATTGAGAATGTTCATAAAGTCCAGTTCCTCAAAATGATTCTGTTCCCTAAATTCTCCTGGAAACCAAACATCCAATATACAGCAGAAATATGCGAACGAGCTGTTCAATAAACTCACTTTCTTTTCCAGTAACATTCTTGGATAAAAAAACACACACATTATTTAGTATATATAGAACAGATTTCAAGTTTACAATGCGGCCTCAGCTGATGTACTCAATGCACCAGATGTAATCCAACTCAAGCACTATTAGAATCACATTAGGGACTGTTAAAAATACACCGACACTAAGCTTATTTGCGGAATCGGGCGAATGGCCTCTATGACTGATTGGGACAACACTTTCTACCCAATAAATTACCCAAAAGCGCTAAGAAATCAGTCTCTAGAGATAAAATGAAACAACACAATAAACCTGTTTACGATTGTCAGGAAGATGACTTTTAAAAGGAAGTTGATTTCAATACCCCTTGCCGCTTCCCTGTAAAGCTGAAATTAACCATAGAAGACAAATGTAATGGTTATCTTAAATATTGTTTTAGCGGTTCTTAAAACCCTAACATGTAGCGTAGGTCTGGGAGTTTTCCCTCCTTCAACAACATGATAAGAAAATGAGACATTGCTATTTTTGTTTTATTTATTTATTCATTTAATGGGCTTTCAACTGACGATATCTCTCTATATTCTTTTGAACTGGAACTGTTTGAATCATGAATTTAAGTCACATATTCAGAGAATACGGTAATCGGCAATCAAGCAAGCCATAAACGGTACACACAATGGAACTTTGTAGCCACCTACGAATGTAATATAGTCTACTTTATTCCATACTTAGTATTTGACTCATAGCCGCCGAGACCACGATATCCACATGAAATTTTGAACATAAATAATCATTATTCCTAAATTCTACAGCCGACTGATTCAAAATTGCTATTTGAAATGACATTTTACGTATGATGTCGTTATGTAGCTACAAAAAATACAAATGTCAGAATTTACTCCGTCTAGCGAGGCTGTGTCGAAATGTTTGAAATAATCATAGCATATGTAACCATGGGTACTGGCATGAGATAATCTTATAACGTCCAAAGGGATTGTCTGCTGTATAAAACGTCAAATAAAATCATTTAGAAGCGACCGGAATTGTTTTCCTACCTAATCTCGTTTCCAAACGCTGCAATGTGCAGCACCCGGTGCTCACAATTGAACAATCCCGGGATAGGGGTTAAAACAAAAACATCATATTTAATAAAACGCATAAAAGAGCATGAAGTATTTATATAATGTTGTGGATGTGACCAATTTCACGATTTCGAATATAAATCTAAAGCGTTAATCACAAGAATTAAATTACTGATAAGAATTTGAGAGTTATAAATGATATTGAATATATTAAAGTTTTGCAATAAAACGAAAGATTGATTATTTATATTTCAAAATTTACCTATATATTATTAGATCACAATAGATATGAAACGCAATACGTTTTATACGATTTATGCATTGGCTCAAATAGATAACGGCTGTGAATTTGGTTGTACGATTTGGGATTTTAAAAATTCATCGGCAACATTACGTTCATAGATGTCAAGAGTATTGGACTGTAAATTCAGGAATGTGACTTGATTAAAATCTTCACAAAATTGTTACTATATAAATATATAATTTATGTATTTTGAAACAATTACAAAACAAACTTTAAGCTTATATTAATCACTCATTTTTGTTCAAATGGGATCCTGAAAGTAGTAATGTTGTGGCAGGACACCGAACTTTGCGGTGAAAACCCGGGTAGTCGGCTAGGTGACCTCTACACATCGTAGCCGGGAATCGAACCCCGGTCGCCTAAGTGAGAGGCGAGTGTGTTACTACTGCGCCACCCGAACACTCGACCATATTGATTTTGTATGGTACTGAGAAATAAGTCTAAACGACAGAAATTCCAACGATCAACATAAGATTTTTTTTTATATATTCACAGAGGAATACTTTGGATTGGTAACATCACCAGGATGTGTTCCTATCAACAATTATTATTATAACCCGTCGGAACAAACCAAGTCTGTAGTAGCGTAAGTATTTCTGGGTACAACATTGAAATGAAACCGATTACCACAAATCAATCAAAGTTAAAAAATTGATATCTGATACAGGTATCCCTGAACAAACTCTGACAGCTCTATGTCCATATAACACACAGTATTTGGGAACCGTAAAGAAAAGTTGAAGTACACAGGGGAAAACAAATACCACAATTAACAATAAATGAAGATTTTTTTTGGTTAAACAACGATGGAATAGCATTTTGGGACAAGAACATGATTTTTTGAGATAAGAACAAGAATTTGCAGAATATATGTGTTGCTCTACTTTCGTTTTCTCTCCTCTGTGTCGTACACTATATGTTGTGTTAAATGTTATGTTTTGTGTTGCCCTACTCTCGTTTTCTATCCTCTGTGTCGTACACTACATGTCGTGTTAAATGTTATGTTTTGTGTCGCTCTAACTCTCGTTTTCTCTCCTCTGTGTTGTACACTATATGTAGTGTTTAATGTTATGTGTTGTGCTGCTCTGCTCTCGTTTTCTGTCCTCCGTGTTGTACTTGGTTTGTGAAATGATGTACACTATGTTGTAGGTACTACGACCTTACCGTAGGAATATCCGACCCGATGATATTTGTTCCGCCGCCAGAATGTATGTAACTAATGATAATGTACATCTAATATCAGAAAATAAAAGCTTTAAAAAATAAAAAGCAAAAACTGAAAAAACGCCATTTTGTTATCTTTATGTCAAATTCGCAATGTACCTGGAGAATCATTACAATACCTGGTATCATGATACATATTTAAGTCGTTTAACTTGCATTACCAATAATGATAAAAACGTTTTAAAATGAAACACTACTTCATCTTCGTTAATTTCGTCTTCTGTCTTTAGCTACCGATTTGAGTATTGATAGGTTTCTTGTAAACTTTCAAAAGTAGACAGAGGCGAACCAGAGGTATGTAGCGTGCCAACCTGTTACAAGTGCTATCATAGCAAATTGGGTTGTTGTAACAGATTGGCACGCGACCGAGGTATGGTATTGATCAAAGACTCTTATTATCGTCTTGTCAGTGTGAATGTACGTAACAGATATTCTGATATTTATTTCAAGGATATTGATATTGTCTCGTCATTAATCCTTTATAAAGGTCAGACACCTTTCTTAAAATTCATACACGTATATTACAAGATTCATAATCATAAAGTAAAACATAATCGGGAATTCCACTATATACAATTTTATCTCCTTCTCAAGAAGAGGTAAAGATATTGGTTGATGAAAAAATTACCATACCTGCTATCAAACTATTGCATACCATTTTTGTCAACTTTAACGCGATAAGAACTTAAGAACTTCGCGCGAACACGAAAGATGTCGTGAGAACGTCGGGAGAACGCCGTATGGGTTTCCATATAAAATCCAGCGTTCTTGCCACGTCCTAGTCAATTTTTGAGAACTTCAAGAACGGCACATGAACACCATGCGAGGACGTGAAGGTGTGCCAGGGCCATTACGTAATGCTATGTTATGATCACCATAAACCATATCAGGGGCGGGCTGAAGGGAGAGCTTGTAGATTTAAGGGTGTTTGTTTTAATATGATTTATACAGCAGCGATATATTAACTATTCAAATATCAATGTTTAAAAAACAAATTAATTTGGCCTACAATTTGTTTTATCGATTGATATCAGTGATTGTGTTTGAGTAATTCATTGTACATGTCTAACAGCCTGCACGAGACATGTTTCAAGGTTACATAATATCTAAAAATATTTTGTTTTTGTGTTCAAAAGAAAACAATTTACGGATCAACATATCACGACATATCAAAGAACAGTAATAAAGTGCCGACATGTCAACAGAATGTAAATTCTTACTAAGTTTCGGTGGCATTAAGTCAGAATATGAATTAAATAAAGATTTACACGGAAACCAATGAGAAAGAACAAGAATTTGACAAAACTATGTGTTCAGGAATAGTAAGCGTTTTCTGCTTCATCGATGACACCCGCCATGTTAATCTTAAATATAAACACTACAATATGACAATTTGAAAAAAATAGTCCAGCTCCTTTGATTTAATAGGCTATTTTTACACTATCAGCTTATGCCCAAGGATCGTTTTGCGTCACATTTCTTTGTCTTAGAAATGCAGATTTATATTTAACACCAGAGAACCGACCACCGTCGTTTGAACAGCGTTCAGTAGTCAAGGCACCATTTTGTTATACAGGCAAATATAGCATCTATGGCCGAACCTCTTGGACTAGTCAAACAAAACGATACTTTGTAACACCATTATAAAATATCACGTTCAATGGATGATAAATAAACATGTACAAAGTCAGTCAGATGTGTTTGTTTGAATAGAAAACTTACCTTGTGCTGTTTGTCGATCTCCACGAGGCACGACAAACAGTAAGGGTTAGGATATCGCTGGAGGGATCACGGATGTCACGAGATCAAACTTCTTGATTTCTATAAAATTGCCTTCTCCGGACTTTGTCCTGGTAGAGGATGCTACTGTTTTGTTCTGACCATGTCGATGAAAGGTTTGGTAAAAGAATTATTCCCAATTATTGAACGACTCTTTCTCTTCTAAAAAAATCTAGATCCCCCCCAAACGTTCTGCCTCTTTCCTCAAGTCTCTCGCCCAATTCGAAACTCTCTCCTGTCCACTTCTAGAGTTTTGTAGTATTTGAATTAAAATTTCACCACATCTTTTTGTTGAAAATAAGCTACACGGGATTTGCTAGTTACGTGACATTCCAAAACGAGGCTCCAGTGCGATAACTAAAAAATAACATTGTTCAGGCGAATATAATAGAGTCATCTTTTTCCGGTTCCGTTTTCTGTAATTGTTATTTTGAGGCAATTTTAAAATGGCGAATTATATCGAGCGTCCCCCTTTTTATTATATACACACTTGTTTGTTGTTGAAGGCGATTGAAAGCACTACCTTACATAGTATATAGAGACAGTGCTACTCTCAAAGTTCTTACGTTCTCAGAATACATAATGGTTTAAATAAAAATTATCGGTGATGGATACTTGAATCGTTGATTGGCCCTGCAGGTTCTTGTATATATCTTCCCTCAATGATGTGTCGCACGTTGAACTGTTTATGAAACATTCAAACTAGCCGATTACATTATTTTGTAGGTATGACTGACTGTTCATTGAAATTTACCCCCATCTGAAAATCGACTCTTCTGTAATCGATATTCTAATGAAATGTTAAAGCGACATATCGTTCTGGTCAGATTACACAGCATCGTATACATAATATATGATGATGATACGTATCTATCCTACGTTGCCCGACAATAGTCCCGTGTGTCTTGGTTTATGAGATATTGAAATGCCAAGAAGGATAACTCTTATATTGTATTCACAAAGTTTTTACTAAGCCATGATCAGTTTGTACCAGCTGGAGAGTACTGCGTCAATATCCTTCTTCTTTAGTTACAGGGAATGGAGAGCATTAATTTTAGAAACGTTAGCATTATTTTAATGGTACTATGTCATGTATTTACGATGTACTATTTACATCAAGTACATGAAGTTGAATGAATACTTGATAATTTAGATTCGTAAGGAACTCAGGTTATTGATCTGCAAAGGTAAAGGCTTGACAACCAGCAGAAACCTAGCATTCGCATGCTTTGAATTAAAAGAGATCGTTTCAAATCCGAAAACGGATGATGAGATTGTGTTGCAGCAAAGCACCTGAATTCCAAAACTCTCAAGTTTTTTTTTAAAGAAAACAAATTATCATATTATCTTGTCACATTTTTTATTCATGCTATTCAGTTGACTTATCCGGAACATATTATGAGCCCACAGGTAATTTCTAATTGGGTCATAATGATTTTGAACACATCTAATACACCTGGTATACATGAAATATGTTTCACTTACATGTTAAATCCAAATCAATAAGACCGTGATCCTGCGTACAAAGTAAAAAAACAAAAAACAAAAAATTAAAGAAACTTGTTCTCAACTCCAGTGATTATTGTTGTACTACGTTATTTCAGATAGGAAACAAGGGAGACAACTGCGAGAGGTTAAAACAATATATTGCCACGACGTAGAATTACTTTTATTCGCGCCACTAGAAATAGATAAAAAAATTGCACATATTGGAATTGAAAACAAATATATTCTAACATGTTTAACAACCATTAACATATGGATATTGCTATAAAGATTGTATCATCGAAAAATCTGAACCAACACGTAAACAATTAATTGTCAAAGGAAGACGCTCGTCTGTATAAAACAGTTTCCTTTTCTATAGAGCACACCTCTGATGCTGAGTTACGCATTGAAACTAAACGTAAATTGAATGTTATCAGAGAACAAAATTAACAAGTCAGTGCAAAATGAGACATCTTCTTTTGTGAATTAATTCAATTTTGACATCAAATCAGTGAATGAAACAAACTACAGCAACATCACTTACAATATAACAAGTCGTATTTAAGCTACTTTGTAGATGTCTATGGGAGGTATATATTTAGGATTTACATAATGAAGCGGATATCGAGACAGCAGAATAGCCATGTGCGTAGAACTTGGATCGTTAAGGAAAGAAATGGGTTTGTATTTAAAACTTATGCCAGGTATATTCATTGACCTGTATATATATATATATATCAGTTTAAAAAGTCGACAAAAATACGTGTGAATAAGCAATTTCAATTCACACGTAATATATATCGTATCATTTAAATTTAATTGTCTGACTGACTGAATGAATGAATGAAGGAATGAATGAATGAAAGATAGTAAACAAAAATATGTAGGCATATAATTTCCAGCATTTGAATTAAATCGACACATGTTCAATCGAATAAATGAATGAATGAATAAAGGAAGGAAGGAAGGAAGAAAGGAAGGAGGGAAGGAATGTGGGCATAATAATAAGGAATGTGACAGGAAAAAACCTGATGTGTTAGCAAACAATAACACAGATAAAAAAAATAAACTATACATAGTTTATAAAAGTAAATTGTCGATAAAAAAATTAATATTTCATAAATATTTATAAATCATTGTCCACAGCTGACATCACAATATTGGATTTCAAAATTTCTTAGTAAATGATTTCATAATCAAAACATAACGATTTAAAAAACGATGGATTTCACTGACATGCAAATATAGTGATTCAATTAATAAAAACGATCAAAAAGATATAAAAAATTACACGAGGTGAAATTAAATATCTCGGACTACACGCTCCCTCTTTCTGTTAATTTCTCCAGCTTGCTCAAGCTATCCCTCTGTGGGTTTAACGTGAAAAGCTATCCCTCTGTAGGTTTAACGTGAAAGATAACACGTTGTAATTTATGTTTACTATGCTTATCTTGTTATCGATCGTTTTTCACAACCAATAAAACCGTCAAATATATGTACAGAATTCGACAAGCAATGATTCTAAAACCTTACACACATAGCTAAATGAAACTTTAATTCGGTCAGTTTCAAAAAACGCTTTTGAAGTAAGCAAACATTCGTTCATCATACATTTTACTCAATATTTCGTATCCTTATATATGTACATCCTCCTATCTCCGTTTTGAACTTATTAACCATACGAAGTATCAATTATTACAGTTTTATATAATTCATCGAACAGTTCAAGGATTTTTTGTTATGAAAAACATAGTCAGCATAAAAAATATTAAGAATAAATCACAACATTTAGATAATTGAGATACTATTTTTAGTTTAAGATACATATGTACTTCAAATAATTTAAAATCAAAGGATCAGTACCCATGAAAAAGTCGTCAACTGAGATAAGATATGAACTGAACTTCTCATAATACAACTTCATGGTAAATTTTAGTTCATTATTACAATCCAGATGTTCTTTGGGGTTTTTTTTATCTATTATTTCTTTTCTTTTTTTAATTCGAACCGTTCTTGATTTTTTAGTTCAGGGGCCATAACTCCAAATAAAAAAAAAGTCGACTAGAACCAATTAAAAAATGTTCTACATCTTTTCTTATATTAACTATTAGCCAGATTTCAGTTCAATATCCCATCAAACTCTGAGGAAAGTGGCGGAAACAGGTGATTTCTGGAAATTGTGTAAGTTTAAAGACTAAAAGATAAAGTATATCGGAACCAAATAATTCATTGACCTAAAACAACAGAATAAATTTCAGTTTCACAACTCATTCAGAGAAAATTGGACGAAACCAAATTGTGGTATGACAGTCAGGGGCAACGTTTTGTGCTAAGGCGTATAGAAAGCATTTCCGATGTGACTGTTTTGCACACTCGTGTTTACATTGTACCCCCTGTTTCCACTGATTCGTCCTTGGTGACCTTCATTTGTATTTCCGGTGAGCGTACTTTCGGTTAGTATACGGCCCAGAACGAGATATTGTGAAGAAGTTGCTTGCTGACGCAATGTTACCAGCATATCCCATAAACCCTCTCTTTGTCCACTTCCAGGCAAAACGAACGGCTCGTCTCGCTCGCTTGGCATTCTGTCAAAATAAAAAAATTAGCCCTGTTACAAATAGACGTAAAATCACAGCCATATTTAATTATGAAATGGGTCGATTAAATTAAAGTTGTCCTAAAAGATGCATTATTCACCAATATATGAACCATTGACAATCAAATATATTCACTTTACCTGAAATTCGACTTACCAAAAAGTCGTTGAAAAGCATGTTTTTCTCAGTTTTCCTTTTAATTGTTCATATTTACAGTTCACTAAATTGATATATAAATGTATGCATGGATAAACACGAACTTCACACAGGATTTATCACTCAAGACCTGATATTCTGAAGGTAAATCAAAAGTGGAATTTATAATAGAGAAAGAAATAGACGATAAGAAAACTTTTTATAAAGCCGTGACATATACAAGGATAACATGCAACCATATAAATTCTTTAAGGAAGAAAATCTCTCAAAACAGTGAAACTCTAAATATGGCGGAAGACTTAGATTTCCATTGGAAATTTTTTTTTCAATATCACAACATTTGAAGAAGCCATAGAGGACACACACCAGTTATTAACAGGAAATAATACATTTATACAGCATGCCAAACGGACAGTTCTATATTGTGTCGACACTGCGTGTATTTTGTTCAACATGGTTCTCTGTCAATACCACATGTTCATGTTCACCATGAGCACTGTTGACAAAAAATGAGTTGAGGTTCAACATATTACAGTGTCGACATAGCGTGTTTCTGTTTCACACGAAACTTCTGTCGTTACAGAGTGATTAGGACAAAATAGTAGTGTGTCTGTATAGTGTGTTCATGTTCCACACGACGCTCTGTCGACACAGGGTGGTTAGGCTAAAACCGTATTAAGTCTGAAAAGCGCATTCATATTTAACAAAGAACAGTATCTACACCTATAATCACTCGGACATATGACTTAATTAGTGGCAGCATGCACATAGAACTAAAAAGCAGGTTTAAACGTTCGATGTTTATGAAACATAAAAATATCAACAGTTCGTGCCTTCATGCTGCAATATAACTATATAACAATGCCTTATACATTCTCTTCTCCAGATAGTTTATCATAAAACTGTGCTACAGTGTCATCCCTTTAAACTAATCGTCACTCCTCTAACACGGGTTATGTCCCTTCCCTCTATAATACCGTAACATAACTAACTGTAACTCCTCTAACACGAGTTATGTCCCTTTCCTGTATACTACCGTAACATAACTAAATGTAACTACTCTAACACATGTTTTGTCTCTTTCCTGTATAATACCGTAACTGTAACTCCTTTAACCCAGATTTTATATCGCGAATCTAATCGATAAATGATCGTTAATAACCTCCCTTACCTCGCTCCTAACCGATGAAGTTACAATAACTGCCCTGTATCTTTTATCAAACATCGATGTAAATTCACTTACCCCTGTAGCCTAACTTATCAAACGTCCCGGTAACTTCATTAACCCCTATAACCCAGTTAATCAAAAATCCCTGTAAATCAAATGTCCCTGTAACTTCATTAATCCCTGTTCAATTACTAGTGATGACACGCCCGTTAACCTTACTAACATCCGTTATAATCCTAATCATACATCTCTGTAACGACACTGCACATAACTTCCCTAAACTCCTAATGTTAATCGTGTAACCTCTGTATAACTCTTGTGATCTAACTAATAACACATCCCTCTATCCCACTTGTTCCTGTAATATCTTCAGTGTCTGATGCTTTAACAGGTCCGTGATTTCTCCAACTTAATGTACATTGTTCGTTTGCCACTCCATACATTTCCCAAGCCATCTGTACATGTACAGCCAGACACGTAATAACGGGTTTCTGGGCCGAGTCTCGTTCCAAATTCAATTTAACTGAGAGGATCCGTTTTATCTTAAGCGATTATAAAACAGGAGAAAGCGTTAAAGTGGAATTAATCATCTTTGTTGCTAAAACAGTTTAAATGCGCCGAGCAACGAAAGTACAGATATAATCACTTAGATCGGAATAGCTCTCTTTTTAATTCCAGCCCTTTAACAGGAAACCATTAAACATGTTCTCTCGATCCGATGTAAAACACATGCACTGTATATATTTAGAAATATATATTGAGCTTCAAAGAAAAAAGGCCTTCCATTCTTTCCAGCGCTGAAAGATGAGACACAATCTCGAGGTAGGATGCAATTTCCGGTAGCCCCGAGTTACAATGATGGACGTCTCTGTTCAAAATTAGTTTGTAACAAACAATACTGGTAACACGCTGTTCAAGTAGTTTTGTTTCAGTAACGTTGATTGGAAAAGATTAAGTTTTTAATTTTAAAATTCATTACTAAATAAGTAGAAAATCTAATTCTGTTTTCACCAACGCCAAAATGTTAACTGTTAAACGTAATCTCTGTAGTACGTTGCACCATAAGATGATAAATGTTACATTCTGTTTAAAACAGACTTGAGTTGAGGACACATTTAATTTCAGCTTTCTAATTAAAAGGATCGTTTAAAAGACACTGACTGACAGATTTGTGTGTCGCATAGCTGTAAATGTACAAGCATAACACATAAGCGTTATATGTATATTCAGAATGGTAAATAACTAGTCTTTAGCTGACTGTTTCATTTCCAAACATAATTATTTTCGATTTTTAAAGAAAAATTATATCCTGCGTGGGTGAAATACATACAAATCCGTAAAACATATACGCGTGTATGTGCCACGTGGGATGGAAGTACAATAAAAAACAATAATTGAGTTCAATGTCCATTCCCAGGCACCGTAAAGACGATAGAGACAGAAGATTAAAGAAAAACAGAACTCAAGGGAGCTTCAAGACAGTAGGGAGGACACCATGGAATTTATAATATAATAATACAGTTCCTGAGTTCCTGACTTGTCATGACCAACATTAAACAGCATGAATATTCCAATTGGTCACCGCTATTTAAGATATTATAATGTAAATATCATATCTACGTATAAAGGTCGTGACACCAGAAAACCTGTTATTTATTTACAACACAAGGAAATTTCAGTTCCGTTTTCGCGGTCATCTGTATATAGATCTAGCCGTCTCGAGAACTTGTGGTAGTGTAGATCGATAGATAGGGGACTTACCATTGGTGCACTGGTTTTATTTCCCTTGTACATTATGATGTGTATGACCTACCAATGTAAATTTAGACTTAATACGTATATTACTTCATTACTTAGCTAGTTTTACAAGCTTTCCCGTTACTGTTTCCAGAAATCCGGTATTTCGTTCTTGTTGTATAAACAAGCTTAATCCCTATTTATTTGGTTTATTTTTTAAATTCTTATTCAAAAGTGAAGGATGTAATTAGCTTTAACAATACCAAAAGTCATTTTTGTTTTATAGCGCAAATAAACATCATTATTGTCAATAAAGATACAACTGTATAAAGAAGACAAAATATTTAGCTTTGTTCACAAAATGCGCTTTCAATTTTGCGAGGAAAATTTATAGTTATAGTGTATTCATATAAAGCTGCGAACTGTGGCTTCGATCACTGTCACAGCTGACTCACAGTTTGACGCGAAAGTTCTATCGGTCCTTAATTGGGAGTTGTCATGTTTTCCATAATTAGCATTTTGATAGTACGTTTATCATGCTATGTAAAAGTACATTGTATAATAAAACTACAAAGAAATCGTTAACTGGCTTCACTTTACTTTTTTGCTTTCGACACATTTCTAATTCATTGCAAAATTATAGTCTTTGGTTGAGGTCACTACCATGATTTATCAACCCGAGACATGATTATATCAACCGAGGACGTAGTCCGAAGTCAATATGATATATATGTACGTCATGTACCAGGTATTAACCGAGACTAAATGTTGTTAATTTTTTTTCATTATTTTCTGTATACATTTATTCAGACATCCGGAGGTTGTCGATTTTAGAAAACATACTTTGAATTATATAATGACGGCTTGCTTTTGTAAATAGGCTCGCGACACGAAGGCACAAAAATGCCGATAAAATTTCACCCTCTGTTAATCATTAGAACTGTCTATATAAAGTATCTAATGCGCTCTCCTCTAACAAGGTTCACCGTAGTTTTGAAGAAATTACTTAGTGCGGTGCACTAGCGGATTACTGGTGTTGACAAGCTGTAGTGGCGAGGAAAAGTTTATTTCTGACGCCGAACAATACATAATGCATGCGCCATGTCGTCCTTTTGTGAAATTTGCACGTAGTACATGAATCACACTCGACCTAACCGGCAGGAGCTCTCTACGAGAGCCGCAAAGACGACAGTCATATCGTGAGCCATATACGGTATGACTCAATGTCTTGAATCGATTCTTTCGTGGTGAAGAAAGAAAGAATGAAAGAATAATGTTTCTTCTTTAGTAGGAACACTGTATATACTTTCAATCCTTTCGACTCTCCTCTTGAACAACATATCTGTCTAACAATAACATCATGGCACGTTCAATTGATCAGTTTAGAAAACAATTCTGTATATTTCTGAAGTAACCAACCTGCAACTCCATCCACAACTAATACTAACAGAAACATACACGGAACGTCAAATTAAAGCATATCTTTTTTGTATACAAATGTTTATGTACTACTAATGTAAGTAGTTCACAAATATGAGGGGAAAAAAATTCCGTCGATGATGTTTCGTTACAAAGAAATTGGCACATACATTCTTCAAAGCACCATGCGCTGTTTATAGTGCTTCAGGGTTTCATTTCGGCTTTATAATTGAAATTACTTCAATGCCGTGTTTTATTGAAAGCAATAACATAATATTTTAATTCCCATGTGTTCTAAATGACATGTTTACCTTCATAAAAAACGCAATGGTGTTATTTATAGTCATTTTTGCCTCGCCTTACGATTGTACTTCATTAGACTTCCAGGCAAGCAAACTTATCACCCATAAACATGCTACGTAATACTAAACTCATCGACCTAATACTGAACGAAACCAGACTCCATATCACACGTGAATTCATTCTATAGAGTATTCATTTCACGCTA